AACTTTCTTGGGTAAGATAAAGATCTGCATCCAGTATTGGAGCGTCCCCATCAGAACTGAAGAAATCAACTGCAACCGCCCAGCATAGCTGAGTTTTTTTGCACGCCAAGACTGGATCTTCTTCGTAATTATGGCCACTAATTTGTCAGTCTCACTCGAAGGCAACTTACCTGAAAGAAGAGGCACACCCAAGTATCTGACAGGTAAAGTCCCTTCTGCAAAACCTGATACCTGCAAGGCTGTCTGTTTGAATTGCACTGACTTCCCACCAAAGTAAACCTCGCATTTTCCTGGATTGCACTTTATCCCTGAAATGGAATGGAACTCTTTCAGAATCCCCTGAACTCTATGAATAGCCTGTCCTGAACCCTCTGTGAAAATGAGCAGATCGTCAGCAAAACACAAGTGTGTCAGGCCAACTTTCTTGCACTGGGGATGAAAAGCCAGGTTGCCCTCTGCAGCAGCTCGATTCAAGAGAAGTGAGAGCCCTTCCATTGCTATTGTAAAAAGGTAAGGTGAGAGGGGATCACCCTGTCTCACCCCCCCCCCCCCCCCCCCCCCCCCCCCGTGCCCCAAAGAATCCACACAGCCCACCATTAACACATATGCTAAATTTTGCTGTTTTAATACAAAGTCTGATCCAATAGATGAATCTCTGAGGGAATCCCATTACTTCCATCATTAGGAACAAATAGCCCCAATGAACAGAATCGAATGCTTTCATGAGGTCCACCTTTATAGCACATCGAGAAGATAGGGTACCTTTGTGATATCCACTCACAAGCTCTTGAGCCATTAGAATATTATCTACAATCCTTCTCCCTTCAATAAAAGCAGACTGATTTCCACTAACTACACTAGACAGAACCTTTTTCAATCTGTTCGCAAGCAACTTGGCAATGATTTTATAAAGGATGTTCACACAAGAGATTGGCCTAAACTCTTTTAACCTACAGGCAGAGGCAACCTTTGGTATCAACGATACAGCAGTGGAGTTAACACTACTAGGGAGCTTACCTGTAGTGAAGAAACCCAGAATTCCAGCAGTGATGTCTGCTCCAATAATCCCCCATGTGCGCTTGTAGAAGCCAGCTGAGAAACCATCTGGGCCAGGGGCTCGATGAGAACTCATGCCAACTACCACCTGTCTCACATCATCGGCTGTAAACTCCTGACACAAGAAAGTCTTCTGCTCCTCATTCAGTCTATGCAGGACCAGGTTCTCCAGATACTGCATACTAGGATGTACATCAGGGTCAATAAACCCGAATAAGTTTTTATAAAACCTTACTGCTTCAGCCACAATGTCATCCATCTCCACTATCTCCTCACCCCCTTCAAGTACTAACTTCCTTATAGCCTTCTTAGCAGTCTTAATTTTAACCGATTGATGGAAAAATCTAGTACCCTGATCTCCCAACTTCAAGTGATTTACCCGAGCCTTTTTCCAATAAAAACTCTCCTCATCCTTTTTTAGCTTCACAAGCTTTGAATTTAGGTCTTCTACTACAGCAAAAAGATCACCAGAGGGACTGGATAGAGCCCTTTCTTGCGCAGCAAGCAACTGCCCTTCAATGTCCCTCACCTGCCCACTGATGTCATTAAAAACTTCTTTATTCAACCTCTTCAACCCTTTCTTAACTGCATTTAGTTTGGTTTTAACAACCTGGAATAGGTCCCCCTGAGCAGGTGTAGACCACCCTTATTCAACAATTTGGTAGAAATCAGGGTGACCAGCCCAAAGCTCAAAGTATTTAAAGGGCTTTGGGAGAGATTTCTATTCAGGCTTCATGTTGACACAAACCCCACAGTGATCTGAAAAAGCCCCCACCAGGATCTCAATTCCACAACAAGGAAAAGCATCAAACCAAGTCTCATTGACAAGGGCTCGATCAAGCTTCCTGGCAATAGGGTTATCCTTTTGCCTGTTCGTCCAAGTAAAGAAAGGCCCACTCGATCTATGATCAACCAGTTCCATACCATCTACCCAATTCTTGAAGTCCATCATACAGCTAGTCATCATGGTTAGGTTTGAAGTTTCTAGTGGGGATAAAACAGAGTTAAAATCCCCTCCAACAATCCATGGAGCCGTGGTTAACTTGAATCTAGCCAGGTCCTTATAAGTGTCTCTCCTCTCCATCTCATCATTAGACGCATACACAACTGTAATGAAGCAACTAGCACCACTTGATTCTCTAGCCACACAGTGTACATAATTCGTCCTGGCTGCAAGAACTCTAAATTCAATATCCGAATCCCAAAATAACCAAATCCTGTCCAGGTCACTGTCGAAATAATTTAGAAACTTCTTCCACCCTATGCAAAAATCCACTACCGTCTCAATTGATTTAGCTTTTCTAACCCTTGTTTCAAGGATAGCCACCACATCCACCTTATATCTACTCAGGACTTGTGAAAAGTCCCTTCTCTTAGAGGGTTTATTAAACCCTCTAACATTCCATAATAGGATCTTCATCCTGGGGAGGTTTGAGAACCCCCTACCTTCTTACCACCCTTCTTTGGAGCAGCCTGCAACTGAGTAATTTCTTTATCCCCTAACCCTTGCAATGCAGCAAACGATTGATTAGTCTGCAATACACTTGTAGGACTAGGAAGCGGGGACCAGCATCTTGGCCTAGCTCCATTCACCACTTTCTGAAATTCATCCTCCGTGGGAAGCACTGGTGAACTACACTCTGCAACTGATTGAAAAGAATGCTCCAAATTTATGCCCACACAGTTTGAACCAACCATAAGATTAGTGCACTGTACCATATCTGCAGAGGCCACATTCTTTCCCTTATTCTCCCTGATTGGACTACTGTTTTGGACAGGGTTAGTGTTAGGCACCATTCCAACCGCCTTCTTGACCCAGACACGCTCAACTTCACAGTTCCCCTGAGTTCCCTTAGTCTTCAGAGCATGATCCCTCTTACCACATCCACATTTGAGACCAAAAGAGTGACAATGGCCACAAATAGGAGGCAGGTGGCTATAAGCCACACCCACCTTAATTGAGCGATCCTCAGTTGGCCATATCAACACATGATCAGGAAATTGAGCTGAAGCCTTCAACTCCACAAGAGCCTTCGCACAACCAAGTCGACCACCCATCCTCGTCGTGTGGTCAACTCCCAATGGAATACCTAGGAAACTCCCCAACCGACTCATACCTTGAAAATTCACATACTCCAAAGGGACATTGGTGAATCGCACCCAGATAGGCAGAGCCTTGTTCCCCAAATCTTCAACATCAATCCCCGGGGTCCAAGGTCGAAGATATAACATATTATCCGAATGGAACCAAGGCCCGCTCTCCAAGATCCAATCACACGTTTCCTGGGATGGAAGTTGAAGGAGAATCAGCTGATTTCCCAGTAAAGAAACTCGAACAATACCGTCTCGCCCCCAAAGTTTATTCGCCCATCGCCGAAGTTCCAAAAGAGAAGGGAGAGAAGGATGGAGGAACTGCCCAACCAAACTGTGCTTCCATCGAGCTGCGCCTTCATCACTCACTACCTTCGGCATTCGAATCCCCCCTTTGAACAGCTCCGGTGGAATATATTCAAGACGATTCGCCTCTACGATGCCAAATAGTGCCGCCCAAGGCTTGACAGGAACTCCCTCATTATCCAAACCACTCGCTTCAGCAGCCATCGATCCCGAAGAAAGGTAATCGCACCGGCGCAGATGCCGGGATGGCCAGCCAGGCCCGCGGTGGAACCCTAGCTCGCCAAGAAAATGGGAGGATTTCTCTCACTACTCTCTCAGCTTTTTTGACGGCCAACCATAAGACGTTCATAAAAAAATTTAAAAGCACACCCACCCATAAAGCTATTTACTTATGGATCAATTTGGGCTCAAGATAGGGTGCATAACCATGCACCTATCAATAACCAAATCTGGACCCCTCATTTAGAAAATCCAGATCTAAGGATGGAGAATTAAAGACCATTTTTATTTTTCAAGCTTTCTTAATCGGTTCATATCTTTTTCGTTTTAACTCGAATTTTAATTTTTTTTTTTGCACAGATAGAACGAGTTCATCGTGCTCTACAAAATGAGATCAATTTTCAATATTTTTTTAGAAAAAAAAATTATGGCCTCTCGGTACCAACTGCATACCATATGGTATTTTCTTCGTTTTTAATGCGTTTTTGAAAACGTTTGCACAGAAGGGACGAGTTCATCATGATCTATTGGATCTACAAATTTCTGGGTGAACAAATTACAGGACCAAAAAATACCACACAATACCATACAATACCACCGTGGTACGGGGTGGTATCTTGTGGTACACAATGTTAAAAGTCATAAATGACAGTTAATATACTTCTACTATCATGTATTCAACTATCCTACAGTCTTGGTTTGTTCATACCACCATGGTACACTTTTCAAACCATAGGTATGCTTTTATTTCAATACCAGTCAATACCATATGGTATAGACTGGTAAAAAATCTCTCAAATTTTTTTGTTTGAAAAATATATCAAAGTGGATATCATTTTGAAGAACACAATTAATCTACCCTAATTGTGCAAAAAATTTTACTTAAAACGAGTGATAAATCGTCCGTTAAAGATTAAGAAGAGTAAAATTAAAGGCTTTCCAGGAGAGATAGGAATGTTGATGTCATACTAATATGGACGGATTACTCATCTTACTCACCATAGAGTTACTCTCCTGATCCATTCCCATCGATTTGGGTTAGATTGATGGGTCGGTTTTGATTTGTTTTGTATTCACTCGTAATTGTAGGACTGTTCGGGCTTTTCAAACTCCGATTGAGCAGGTCGAAAGACCGAAATATCCCCGGTAACAAATTTACTCCCCTTTTACCCTCGTCATTTCAAAGCTTGTGTCTAACTGGCCTGGAAAGTGGAAAGAGAATTTACGAAATAGAAACAGACGAACTTTCAACGAGCAAGAAGAAAACAGAAAGATCCCTTACAGTCGCACGCGCCACCGTGATCGCGAACTGCTCCGTCTTGCGTAAGATGGACCAGCGATTGCCGAAGACGACAGAGGCGGAGCAAAAGAAAACTGATTCGTTGTCGCTTCCCAATTCAAGCCTCAATGCCGACTCCAAAATGGGGGAGAATTCTCGTAACGAGCCGAATGGAGACTCGACCAACAAAAATGGCGGTGCAAAGCTGGGATCGGAGAATCCGCAGTCTTCCGAGGAAGCTCATCTTGAACAATTGCAAGCGTCTTTCAGAGGTGGATCGGGGAGGAAATCTGTTCATTGGAGTCCTGACTTGGTGACAGATTCTGGAGCTTCAAACGGTGGCGATGGTAACACCGTTTACCTTGACGGATCTAACCCTTACATATCGTCGTCTCCAGCTGGATCCTCTACTACCGTCTCCTTCAAAGGCAAGCTAAATTCGTGTCGTCTCTGTTCTTTTTGCAATGAACTCTCATGTCTGAAGGACTCTTTTTTTTTTATCTGCTTTATTTCAGAGAAGGTAGGAAATGTGCGGGAATTCCTGGGGAGGTTTGGAAGAAGAGTTGGGGAAGCCACCAAGAAAGCTGAGACCCTTGCCGGCAACACATGGCAACACTGTGAGTGCCTTCTTTCATTTCGCAGTGACATTGATCTTTGCTTGTAATTCATTCCTATTGAGCTGCTCAGTCTTCTGGGATTAAGAGGATAATCTGAAGCTCTCTCTTCATCGAATCAGATGTAAATTGAATCGGAAAATTTGACTTGAACTTTGTCTACTTATGTTGATGCGTGGTTCTGTTTTTGCTGTAGTCCTCCCTTTAGTATTGTTTGACGTTCAAGAGTCTCATGTAACGTTGCATCCTTTAGCAGTCTATCTATGTCTGCGGAATTGATTATCAGAAGAACTTAGGCACCCAACTCAAAGTGGAAAGAATATAATGTTGTGATTTCAATTTGGAACTACCCTATTCACCATTGATATTAGTTTGTGGTCGAAGTGTACAGAAAGTACTGGGGTAGTTCATGAATTCTCTACTTAATAGCTGATGAAATTTATTGTCAATGAACACTTGCAGAAAATGAAGTTATTGATGCGTTGGTCTTGTATTAACAATTTCTCTATTGCTGGGCTGATGCAATGTGGATAACTAGTTTGTAAAAGTAATGCTCGAAGTGGTTCCTGGATAGCAGTAGAATTGCTGTTCTTTCTTTTAATGCTGTAAACAATAAGCCAACCTGATCTGGACTTTATACTTCGTCCTTCAGATCAAGTGCACAGTATGCCGCTTTCATGAATTCTTTGTATACTGACGCCCGTTTGCATGCCACAGCCTATATCAGCTTGCTTAACCTGATTACTTCCAAGGTCTTAATTCAAATCTTAAGAAGAGAACTTTCATTCACTCATTCCCCCTTAAACTCTCTCCGTGAATTTCTTAATCGCGCAACGTCTTTTCAGTCCTTAAACAGCTTACTGCTGAAGTTCATAGATTGATTACACTCTTCCAATGAAGCTTCTGGCTTTCTCCCCGTACTTCTATATTATATTCTTGTTTGAAGGTTTTCATCTTATGTATCTTGTGCCAAATCAGTGAAAACGTCCCCCAGTTTTGCTGATGCTGCACTAGGAAGGCTTGCCCAAGGAACAAAGGTCTTAGCAGAAGGAGGTTATGAGAATATCTTCAGGCAAACATTTGAAACTGTTCCCGACGAGGTGCTTCAAAATTCATTCGCTTGTTACCTCTCAACATCAGCTGGTCCAGTTATGGGAGTGTTATATGTCTCCACAGCAAAGCTGGCATACTCCAGTGACAGCCCTCTTTCTTATAAAGCAGATGGGAAAACTGAATGGAGCTACTATAAGGTACTTATTTTCTCTGGCCTTGTTAATTTGCATTATGAGTTTCAATTTTTAGGTCCTAGTTTCCACCGACTCTAAGTCTGAACTTCTTTGGAAATGATTGTCTTTCTGTTGCGTGGATAATCCCCAACTGTTAGAAAGAAATGTCACTTCATCCTGTCCCATCATTTTCTTTGTCATTTCTGGTCTCCTTGCACTACTGGAAGAGTGTTTTGATCATTATGATTCTAGCCTCTGATTTTGATTGCCATCATAAGATCATTGGTTTCATTGGCGGGCAGGATTAAATTAGTTATTACTTATTCAGCACTGAAGTTGCAGAAATGTTAAAATGGATAACACATACAGTGAGAGAAGAGATATGTTTAATGAAGTGAGTTCAAATTCTCCCTAGATGACATTGTCTTGTAATGTTGGATATCAGCACTTGATGTGTCTAGGACATTTCAACCAAATCGACAAGATCAACTCTTTCCTGCTTGAACTCTGTTTTGCTTGTCACCTGAATAACTCTACACCATTGAAAATGAGGACCTCTCTAAGAAGCATGCTAGCCTAGTTATTCTCCAGAGTCCCCTTAGATCTTTATTTGGACTATGCAACTTGACTTGACAAGGAATGTTTTATTTATGTTAGAGGAGCAATCTATTCATATGGAGTGTGATTTCTTATGTCATTCAGTAATGTGCAAGCAACCTGTATCTAATTTTTGGTAAACAAAAAAACCTGCATCTAGTTCTGTTCTCCTTTGGAACCATGTCTTCTTCCTAGGCGAAATACACTGGTCTTTACCAATAACCACCATTTTGAACACCTGCAGTTTTGTGCATCAATATCTTGCTTGCTTCTGCAGTGGGGTTTGTTCGAGTGACCAGTATATTCTATGTCGAGTGATATTCGGAGTACTGTAACTTGTTTTGCGATACCCGGCTACTCAATTCACCTCTATTCTGTATGCAGTTTACCAGTAGGCCTTCTCTGTAATAGATAGCTTTGATTAGAGATGCCTAGAAGGAGTTTGAAGGATCTTATTTAAGTTAATCTCTCATTTTTCTTTTTTCGTGTGGCTCCTACTGGCATACTTTAAGACGTTGCTATTATTGGGTTCCTTAAACAGGTGGTCATCCCATTGCATCAGCTTAAGGCAGTCAACCCTTCGACAAGCAGAACAAATGCAGCAGAGAAATATGTGCAGGTGATCTCGGTGGATAATCATGAATTTTGGTTTATGGGGTTCTTGAACTACAATGGCGCCGTGGAATGCCTACTGGATGCCATGCATGCCCAGACCGCTGCATGATAACGCATTCTTCCTTGTTTAAGTTCCTCTTCCAAACCATTTTTCACAGCTCACATAGTTTCCTTCTGATCTGACCATACGAACTGCACCACAAAGTTTTATACTTTTGCTTCCTAAGTAAATTTTTTCCCTCTCGCTTCGTGGAAACGAAACAATTAGGTAACTTTACTTTAGGGTCATAAGTGTCTTTTTTTTTAAGAAAAGAAAGATCTTTGGATGGATGGTTAGGGAAAGTAGAATTTGTTCGTTTTTTTTTTCTCCTTCTCCTTCTTCAGAATCAGAACTTTGTTATTTTTACCATGGGGTATTCTGGTTCCATGATGCAATATATATAGCTCTCAAGTTAATGGTAGCCAGAAGGTTGTCATAAATTGCGATTTCTGTTATTTTGAAGTGTGGAAGTTGGCTAGATGATTTCTGGATGATTTGTATGTGTGCTTGGAAGTATTTGCCAGTGTTTGTGATACCATGTGTCAATGACCAAATTGACATGGTTTTACGATAATTCTTTTAATAGTTTTGTTCTTGTAACTCTATTATACTTGTATGTTAATCACTCATTTGATCTTCAATATGATTTCAAAATGAGTTAATAGCATTTTCTACCCTTCTATTTTGGCAAATTAACAAACGTACCCAGAAGCGAAGGCAGCATCGAGAAGGGTGGGTCCCTTGCACCACCTTTGGCCACAAAAGATTACCCATATATATGCTTCCCATTGAGAACGAAATCTGAACCTTTAACTTCAATGATGATTAGCTAACTTGTTAACCAACGAACAACACATTGTTTCAATGATCTTATATAGTTTAATTAGTATAATGGAGTTTAAATCTTTGCTTACTTGATGAGATAAACACCAAATTGCTACATTGTGGCGCTACTTAAGGGGTTGTTTGCTTCATGGATTTAAAAATGAAGGTTTTTTAATTTAAAAATTCAAGGATTTGTTAGGGATTTGTTGCATTACGGATTTGGGAAGAGTCCATTGTTTGCTTAGTCGATTTAATCATAGATTTATGGGTTATGGATTTATATCTTTAAGATGTATATTACCTTACTACCCTTCTTCATGTTAGATTTATATAACTTTACTTGTGTTTCTAATTTTATTCTTGTGGTCATATTGTTAATTTGTACTTTTAAATTGACATTTTATAGCAAGCTGGTAAAATTAGTAGCCACGAGATATTAATTACTATTTAATCTTACAATTCTTGGCTAAAATTCGTTTGTTATAATTACTATTTAACAACAAATGTAATTTGTAGCTAAAGGGTATTACTTGCCATCCAAATCAAAATTTGAATCAAAATAATCATACGTTTATCGCAAAATAATTGTGTGACAAAGACCTTCACAAATAGCCATGAGGAATAAATTAGCATGTTATTAGCTTATGGCATAGATTATGTAGTCATTAGCATGTTATTAGCTATAATATTACTTTTCATGGCTAAGTTTGTAGCTATAAGAGGCAATTGTAGTAGTGCAAGGAATAACTAATGACAGGTAAAGTTGGAATAAATAAATTATAAAGGGATATTTAAGTCATTTTTCATGAAGGATTTGTTTCCTTCTTCAAATCCCAAGTAAATAGGTGGGATTTACAAATCCGTGGGACCCAAGGATTTGGTGCCCTCCATTTTGGTTCAACAAACAATGGCTTTTGGACAAATCTTTCATGTGTTGGATTTAAGAACCAAATCTCACATCCAAATCCATGATGCAAACGACCACTAAATTTGGATGATGGGTTTGTTGACTTTGACAACAACAAATTATAAAGCTTGCTACTTTTTTATTTTAAGAAATTCTCTAAAGATAATATTTTACATCTTGATACTCAACTAGATAGTTATATTTTTTATGTGAAGACAAATACGAAATTCACTAAATTAAAGGTAATCTATGCACATTCTAGGGAAATAGCTGCGTTGAAGAAGTTCTGACTAGTTACATTGGTGTATCGGCACATTCTAGGTAATCTATGCACATTCTAGTGACATTTTAGATAGTTTGGATGAGAAAATGTATTTTAGAGTGTTCAGAATATGAAAACACGTCGAGGTTTATTGTAAACATTAATAAATTTTTGTTATTGTATCGGACCCACTCTAAGAGAAATCTTGGCTATGCCACTGAACGTACCCCTCTAATAAAATTCCGCACAAACATACCCTCTAATATCAAATTATAACAAGTTTACCCTTACATCTAATTTTCTATTAAGCGATCGTTAAATAGATTACAAAATGACCAAATTCTCCTTCGTTTACTATTAATTTCAGTTTTAATTATTTTATTCGTTATGTCCGTGATCAATTAATTAGAAAAAAACAAAAAAATCAATTAATTAAAAAAAAACATGGATCTCCTTCCCCCTGCTAATTCCCCCACCCCCTGCACACCCCGCGAAGGCACAACACCGAGTCCCTGAACCAGAGAAAGCTGACCTTTAATGTCGGTAGCTTGCCTTCGACACAGCCTGAAACAACCTTCAGCAGAGGCGAATCGACCTTTTCCCCACGCGAACGCACAGCAGCGGCTCCGACGAAATTGTCATCGATTCCGCGAACAGTAGTTGCAACTTTCTGCAAAATTGTCATCGACGGAATGATGGGGAAGCTAGCGTCAACGGAATGATGGGGAAGCTGGCGTCGACGGGAGAAAATGAGTCAAGGTGTGGCATCCGAGGATGGATCGACCGGAAAGCTTGCGCCAAAACTCGCGGGAGAAGCCAGATGGTGTCGTCCGAACGTCGCGTGGAGAAGTCGGGGAAGCAGCCACCTGCTTAGGAGTGTCAGTTAGGGTCGGGTTAGGTTACCTAAATCGAAACCCGAAAATCCAAAACCAAAAAGCACTGAAAACTGAACACGAACAGGACTTGCGGGTTTCTATTACCCGAAACCCGAAAATTCGGGTTCGGGTTTGGTTAAAGCAAAACCAAAACCCAAAAACCCAAACGCCTAAGAATACGGGCTGAGTTCTATTCATTGAAGGTTTTTAGTCGGAACCCGAAAAACCGATAAGCAGAACCAAACCCGAAACCAAAAAATCTGAAACCCGAACCCAAAAAATGGAAAATGTATATAATCGGGTCGGTTTCGGATAAACCCGAAAAACCGAACCCGAATGAACACCCCCTACACCTCCTATGTGATCAAGGGGAGAATCCTACGGTGTCTGGAAGCTGGTCGTCTGGCTGCCTAGCAACGGGATTCTCTCTACTCCAGTTGCCGCCGAAGAGGAGATGCGGGAGCAGGCGCCACCAGAAAGAAGATGAGGGAGTAAAGGTTCTAATGGAGATTATGGGTTAAGTTGTAGCCCTTTGTGATTTAGAAGTGGTGGGTTTGTACTCCAATATGTGAAATTAATTCTATGATTAGGGTAACAGGGAGTAAAGGTTCTAATGGAGATTATGGGTTAAGCTGTAGCTCTTTGTGATTTAGAAGTGGTGGGGTTGTACACCAATATGTGAAATTAATTCTACGATTAGAGTAACAGGGAGTAAAGGTTCTAATGGAGATTATGAATGTATTTTTTCGCAATCCGAATAGGGGAAAAATCCAAAATTACCACTGTTAAAAAAATTTACAAAAATACTACCCATTCTCAAGTATTTCCAAAAATATCACCCTTCTTCACAAAACGCGTGTCGAAGGCGCGGTTCTCAGTCAAACGCGCCTCAGAGGCGCGGTTAACAATCAAATCGCGCGGGCAAGGAGCAGTTTGACCCTTCGTAGCTGTCAAAACGTGTCGCCGCGTGGCGGCCCATGCAACCGCGCGATGGGCAGGCGATCTGACGGCCAAACCGCCTGCCAACGCAACGATCCGCATCGGCTCAGGCAAACCGTTGCCCTGAAGTGCGGTTTGCGCGTTGGGGAACGTAAATCGCGTGCTGGAGGCGCGGTTTTACATGGGGTAAAAAGACTAAACCGCCCTTCCGGCACGCGGTTTCGTCCCTATATAACCCCCCTCCTCCCATTTTATGCACACCAAACCCCCCTATTCCCCTCTCTCTCTCTCTCTAAGTTACTCACTCTACCCATCCCCCTCCCCACCCAAAAACCTTGGAAGTAGTTGTTTTGTTGGTTGCGGCTAAGTCTGATCTGCCTTTAAAAAACTTTTTCTTTGGTTTTCACTAAAAAACCGTCGAATCTCTGTCCGGATTCTGAAAAATGGCTGATTTTATCCAAGAAGAGGGTATTTACTATGATGATTATCAAGCGGTATGTACTCATTTTACCCAATTTTTGTTGTTGTTGTAATGATTTATTTAATTTATATACTAATTGATTTATGTTGTTGTTATGCTATCGTAGGTTGGGTCGGATGTTGATATATACAATCAACGATATTATGTTGATCAATGACCGATTGATCTGACTATTTTATACGATCAAACCCATCATCGTTCAAGAGATGTTTGGAACGACCACAAGGTACATATTATTTATCATCACTTGTAATTTTTATTTTGTTAACGTAATTTATTTGTTTGTACAAAAATTTACTTAATTGTTAATCGTACTGATTATTTTCAATAATTTAAATCAATACAATACATTAGACTCTTTATAAAGAAATGCGTGTATAAGGAAATGGGGTCTTAAGCGATCATCATGACCCCCCCATGACCTGGGAAAATCGGGTTCTAAGCGATCCTCGGATCCCCCCTTGTTCTGTCAAAAAGACTGTGTTTCTAAGGAGATGTATACCTCTCCTAAGAGTCATACGAGTGTACTTGTATTGTTTTAAATTATTGAAAACAATCAATACGATTAACAAAATAATATATTTGATTTATGTGTATGTGTACAAAAATAATCGTACTTAAATTTCGAAAATGATTTTATTTATGTTAAAATTAATGTTTATTAGATAATGTATATTTCTCTAAAACAATCTTGATTTAATTAATATTTTTTGTTATAATAGATTTATATATGTATAAATCATAATTTCTCTTCCGTGTAAATTTTTTTGTGCATTTTTTATTTAATTAATATTGTTTGTTATATATTAACCGCCCCTTAGAGGCACGGTTTTTAATAAACGGTGGTATTTTTGGAAATTCTTGAGAACATGTGGAACTTTTGTAAAAAAAAATTAAACAGTGATATTTTGGATTTTTTCCTCCAAATAGATTATGCTTAGGATAGTGAGTTTGAAATACTCAACTTTGTCCTCAAGGACTTGGTCTGATGGGTTGAGGTTCAAATCAACCAAGTACTAGGTAGGAGCTAAACCACCCTCCTCCCCTGCTAAGTGATGAGGAATCATCGAGAATTTTAATAAAATTTTTTATAACTACATATTATAATGGCTTACTTGCATCTAGGGATCCAATTTCGGCATGATCTATTTTACCGACCTATTTGACCTGTTTTGGGACGGGTCCGATCCGCCTCGTAGGCGGGGCAGGGTGTATGGTTATTCTCATCTACCTGATCTGCCCTGACCCGCGCCATTCTCAACCCGTTCTTGTCTAAATTACATGTAATCTTAGTCAAATTATTTAGAATTTCCATTTATTACATCATATTTTAGCTATTATAAAGTTGCGAATTAGCGAAAACCTCAATTGCTCCAATAACTTAATTACATTTTATCATATTATGATTTGTTTTTTGGTCTTTTAATGAAAATAACGAGTATTACTAATATAAATTACATACACATTGGGTCGACCTGCCCCGACGCGCGCCCCGTGATAAATTACCCGACTTGCTACGTGGCGGGTATGAGTATTGAGATACCCTCCCCGGACCTGCTCCATTGTCATGCCTTGCATCTAAACCTGGCAATTGGGTCGGGTTGGGTAATTTAGAGTAATGACCTTGGATTACAGGTCCGTTTATGTTGGATTGGTTGATTTCGGGTCAAATATTGACCCAACTCATAGGATTCCGGGTCGGGTTACAATCATTCTAGTTAAAAGCGCTCTCAAAAACAATATCAAACATGCAACACAAATCTTCACATATGCATGGAAATAGTTTACCTAACACATGTTAATTAACATATTTTTAAATCCTCGGAGTCTAATGAAATGAAATACAATTTGCAAAAATTGTCAAAAAACAATCACAGGAGTAATACTACTACAAAACAAAATACATGATATTTGATTATCTTAAACTCCATACATGTCTTTTAAATTCTTGTGAATTTTTTTACATCTCACCAATTTAGTGATTTTATCATTTTGGAAGTTATATATGAACGGGTCGACCCGCTAATCCTCCCAGTGGGAACCAAAAAATAACGGGTTAATTGAGTTCAGCTCATTTAAGTTTCGGGTTATAAAAACATCTATTTTTTGAGCGTGTTCAGATTGGGTCATAATTTGCTTGCATCCACGTATGTGCTACTCTATAGGGATGTTCAAATGGAGTGGTTACCGTGGTAACCATTTTAACCGGCAGTATTTGGATAATTTTGGTTTGGTTAATTTGGATAATTGGTTTGGTTAAACTTTTTAGCTTGTTTGATTTAGGTGATTTGATTTGGTTTCAGACACTTCTAACCAATTCAACCAAATTAACTTGTTAAGTGATTAACCATATACCTAATACATATTTTTTTATGAATTATACCTAATACATATTACATATACATACTTAATATTTTGCATAACCACTCTAGAGTTAAATGTTCCTTCCTTTTAGGCTCACAAAAAATAAAGTTTAATAGTGTGCATATACTGTATATTTGTATTTGTAGAATGTAAACCACAACATATTGACTCCTAATTTAGATTCAAACTCATACATTATGTTGGATTGGATGACAACTTGAAATGAAGGTCCTTTTCGGCCTATGATAATTTCTAAGGGACTAAGTCAATTCACACAAACACAAAAATTCGTTAACCCCATATCATTGCATATATTTTTGTTAGTTGAATACTTTCATTGATTGGAAGATAGTTGTATTAGGTGTATATATTTATTTTAAGGGTTAATTATAACTATGTGTTGATTTTTATGTTTTATTCATTATATAAAATGTGAGTGATGCATTAACCGAAAAATTTCTCACTTAATGATAATGTGATATTATATTGGTTAATTTGGTTATAACTAACCAAACTCTAGTTTGGTTAATCTGGTTGTTGTATTAGTTTGGACAGTTTGGTTATGATATTGTATTCCACTGTTAATAGAATTTAGCTTTATTTGGTTTGGTTATTATCATGGTAACCATTTAACACCCCCTACTACTCGACCGGGCTCTTTCCCATGTGACATATTGTATTCCAATTGCACACATTTTCTCCCCATATTCTTGAGATGTTTGAGGCATTTCGATTTCGTGAGTGGTTTTATACTAAGTTGTGCTTGTTTGTAGTGTGTTTCAGATCCTAGCAGGTGGAATCGACCTCAGGAACAAAAGTTGGACGAAAAGGGACAAAAACATATCGAAGGGAGCAAACAGCTGAGGATCACGATGGAAGCCGCATTTTCAAAGTCAACCCGACCGTGATAATGGAGCCCCGACCGTGAAGAGCAAGGAGGCCAGAATCTTCCGCTCGCCTCGCGGGCCTATATGAGATCAGGGTCACCCGACTGTGATAATTCGCCTCCGTCTGTGAAGTCCTTTAATGAAACGAAGCGTTTATGTTCGAGATCACGGTCCAATCTTTGAGTTCACAACCGTGAACTGGAACCGTGAAACACGCACATTTTGGGTATTTAAGGAGAAGTGAGCTGAAAGAAGCGAGGGAGCCTAGTGAGATAATTTATTCTTCCTCCTCATATTTCTAGAGAGAGAGAGAGAGAGAGAGAGAGAGAGAGAGAAGAAGAAGAAGAATAAGTGAGGAGAAGAAAGCTAGGGTTTCATCCAAGCTTCAAGATTTGGTGATCTCATCCACCAAGGTTGATTTCTACACCAAAGGAAGAAAGCAAACATCTCAAGATGGTCTTTTCTCTTCTCCTTTGTGTATTTCCTAGTCTTAGAATGGAGTAGTTCCCTTGTTTTACTTGGGTGTTTGTGAACCTTAGCTTGGACTATGGGATTGATTGTATGAATTGAATGTTTTGTGTGTGGTTTGTGTTTTAATGCAAGTATTGAGAAATTTTCATGAAGGTTGAGTTGTGTTTCTCATTTCTCTCTATTATGCCATTTTGACCTAGGTAAAGGGAAATCCCCTTCTTGCTAAGAGGCTTTTAAAATTTATAATTCCTTGGCCAAATTGAGCCTCCTACTTAGGTCGAATTAGGCAAACCTCATACTACATTTTAGCGCCTTGTGGGTTGTAGTTTAGCCCAGCGGATTAAGGTCCAAGGGAGAAGGCTTGGCAATCCTTAGTCGATCAGCCAAGAGAGCTACTTCGTTAACTTGATTTGATTCTCCTTGGCCTATCGACCAAGAGAGTGAAGCTTTTTCACTAATTGTGCTCTCCTACGGTTTACAAATACTTTTCAACACACTTGCATTCTTTTCAACTAATTTTGATACCTAGCTAGGGAAAGTAACATCCAGGTGAAGTCTTTTCAATTCGTGTTCAAAACCATTTACCATTTCGATTGGTTTCAATTGTAAAAATTCCTAGTTTTCACCAAAAATCAATTGTTAGATAATGTTTCAAACGATTGAAGCAGGGGGTACAAGGACCAGATCAAGTTTGATATTTAAATACTTGCTCTATACTACACCCAGCTAGAGTTTATACTCGGGCTCTAGTCAGGATTTGAAATCTGTGGTGGAGTAGTAGTGAGTCAAGTTTTTGGCGCCGTTTTTGGGGAAGTTCGGTCCATTATTTTGAAAAGGTCATTTGGTGTTAATCTAGCTTTTAATTTTTGCATTGTTGATTGTGAATCTTACTTGTGTTGGCTCGCGTTTGTATTTCTTTGAAGTGTGTGCAGGAGGGTGTATGACCCGGAATCATCAGACACCTTTGGCGCCACAAGACGAGAACATCAATCAAACTCTCTGACTCTTGACTTGGGAGAGAGAGTTGGTGGAAGCAAGAGGAAGGATAGCGGATCGGGGACGACCACAAGTTGAACCCGAAGTTGTTGTTGAAGTTGAAGTTGTAGTTGAGGAGGAAGTTGAATCGGAAGAAGAAGTTGAAGATAAGATGGAGGAGAATCAACACGCCTAAGAGGAGAATGAGGAACTGAGGACCATGGACTATCCATCAATTAATTCTCTAAAACTTGGAAACCCAAATCGGCAATCTTGTCGGGATCCTCGCCGAGAGAATGAGAGGAGCTCTACCTTCCAAAACTATTGTCAACCCCAAGGATCAAAATTTCGAGTGCAATGCTATTCTCTCGAGGAGCGGAAAGGTAACTCTGGATGTTATTGCTAAGGAGACAATTGAAGAGGAGAAAGCCCCTCCAAAGGTCGATGAACAAGAACTGTCAGAAGGAGAGGGTGAAGAGGCTAAGAAGGCATCACCAACGCCACCCCTAGTGGCTGAGTACAAGCCTCCTCTCCCTTTTCCCTACAAGGGTGCAAAAAGAACGTTTGGAGGCGGAATGCGACACATTAATGGAGATGCTCAAGAAGCTTCAAATCACAATCCCGATCTTAGAGGCAATGGCGTACATGCCACAGTATGCCATGTATCTCAAGGGGCTTCTTGCAAAGAAGAGCAAGCATGAAAACCTCGGTATTGTCACCTTGGGCGAGGAGTGTTCGGCCTTCATTCAAAACAAGTTGGCCAAAACACAACAAGATCAACGTAGTTTCACTATCCCTCTTTGCATCGAGACATGTCATATAGAAAATTCCTTATCGGATTTAGGAGCAAGCATCAATGTCATGCCATATAAGCTTTACAAGAAGTTAAACATAGGTGAAATGAAACCCACTAGGTTGAGTGTTTCATTGGCTGACCGTTCTATGATTAGTCTTCGAGGCATGATGGAGGACGTTCTAGTGCGGGTGGGCTTTTCTATTATCTCACATATTTCATTATCCTTGACATAAGTGAATATGCGGATATGCTCCTCATACTAGGACACCCATTTCTTGTCACCGCCAAGGCTTTAATCGATGTTAATGAGGGCACATTGATCTTGAGAGATGGAGATGAGCAAATTACTTTTTCGATTGACCCTAAGGATAAGAATGATGATGTTAAAGGAATGGAATCGAATGGTATGTTTGGAAGTGGAGGTGAGCCACTCAAGGTGAACCTCATTAGTGCTTTTTCTCCTTGTGATGATGTGAAACAGGGACCTAAAGCAGGTATCAAACCGAATGGAAGAAAAGGAAAGCTTGGTGTGAGAAGATGAACCGCGTTTTTTCCAAAAAGAAGAACAAAGGTAAAACGAAGGTACCCAACCAAGAGGGCCATCCTTTGGAGTTTAAGATGGGAGGTGACAAGTCTCACCCTGAGACCGTGGTGGATCCACTCTCGCAGGCCTCGTGCTCACAAACATGAAGATCTGCAATGTCGAGCTAGAGACGTTAAACTAGTGCTTGTTGGGAGGCAACCCAACATAGGTTTGTGTTTCTTTTCCTTATCTTCTCTTTTGTGGTTGAGTGATGAGTTTAAGTGGTTGAATGGTGATCACCGTGCCAGTGTTATGTGTTTGAAAGTTTTGGATGTTTTGTGATTGAATTAGGAGCACGGTTAATTAGATCGAGTCTTGAGAGTTTGGAAAATGCCTGATTTTTCATCAATTTACGGTTTTAGCCCTATCATCACGGTCGTCAGACCGTGATAATGTGGTGGAGACCGTTATGGTAGACGTGTGACCATTCACCTTCCCTGCTGACTTCGTTGTAATTGATACGGGCGACTCCATTGCCACTGTAATCTTGGGTTGTCCATTCTTGGAAAATACCCAAGCGATGGTCAACATGCATGTGGGAAAAGCTCATCTTTGGAGTGGGCTCAACACGTGTCACATTCAAAATGGAGGAGTGAATGGAGCAAGCCCATGTTTAGGACGATGACTAGGTCCCTGAAAAAGCTACGGAGACGCTCTCATCAGTAACAACATGCGTCTTGGATGACCCCCTCGAGGTATGTCTCATTTCATGGGGACTTAGGTATTGTTTGCTAATGGGTTTTGGATGTTGGATTTGGTCCTCAAATAACCATCATGTTTTTGGGTAATAACATTGTTTTTTAAGGTATGCCAATCGATGTGGCCATAGATTTGGACAATTTTTTTAGCTCCAAATTCGTGGAATCCACGTACTTCCAAATACTACATTTCATTTGGTATTTGGTTATGGAATGCAAAATTTTTTTACCCAAATATCAAATCACCTAAATCCATGATAAAAAATCAACTAAGCAAACAGTGTTATCTTTCAAATGCAAAATGCAACATGCAACAAATCCATCATAAATATAAAAAATTTCAAAACTCAAAACCTTTATTTTCAAATCTAAAACGCAAACCAGCCGGAACAATGAAGAAAACAATGAACAAAGAAAGGACAAAATAGAAATTTTACTTTTCTTATAAAAAACTCATATCTAATTCCAAACGAGTTATTTAGAACAAATCATATGTATAAATTTCTTGAATATTTAAACAAGTCATTTTAACTCAAATCCCCAAATCTATCTTGTTAAAATTTGCATACAAATGACTCCCAACCCTAGTCCCAACTATAGCGGGTAGTTATCATAAATGGTCATAAAACAATTAACTTTGTACAAAACGGTCACAAACCTTTAATTTTGCACGTTTTAGTAACATATCTTTTGACTAATAACAAAAGGTAATTTCGTCAAACTCCATCCACAATTAAGTTAGTTTGATCCAGTCAGATGTCTCGTCAACATCCACATCAGCAAAAATAATTAATAAAATATAAAAAAATCAATTAAACCGTAATCAACCCACCACCCCAACCCAACCCATTCCTCTCTATCTCCTCTCCCTCTCCGTTGTCATTTCCGCACAGCTGAAGAAGATCCGGTGCTATGTCTGCGACAATGCCAAAGCCATAATCTTCTGCAGTGCCGACCGGCAGGGTAACTAAAAAGAGAAAAGCTTTGAAAGTCTCTACCGAATTAAGAAAAGCTTCTTCCTCGACTCCGACAAGCAGAAAACAAAGTATGAGGGAAGCGGCCAGGAAAACAGTGTGGCAGAGGCATGATCTGGTTTTGGCATCCATTGGTATTGATATCTGCAGCCAAACGAAATTCATGATCCTGTTTCCATCCAGGAAAAACAATGTAATGTAAATTTCTAGAATCAAGCATAGAGGATTGATATTGTAGAGTCTGGAAAGACGGTGGTTCTGTAAGTGGGTTCTTTCATTTTCGTTGGTGCATTCTCTGCTTCCTTGCTTAATTCGCATAATCAATGAATGGGTTTTCTGCGAAAGACAGGTTTTGGACTATGTTTTTTTAGCAATTAAGAAAACCTTATGCCTCGACTCCAGCAAGCAAAACCCTTGCAGCTCCGCCAACATCGCGTCGTGGACCTTCTAACACCGCTAGTGCACGACGTCGTTGGCGAACTCGCGGAAGATCTCCGAGTTCCAATTGCAGTCGTAATCCCTAAAGCACAACCACAACTTCACCCCGAGGTAATGGAGCACGTTGAGCTCCGGCGGGTCCGACCCGAAGAGATCGTTCTTCTTCCTCTTGACCTCTTTTGTTGTCGCCGATCCAGAAGTGCTTCATGAAGTTGAGCCGGCGAGGGATTCGATGCCATCAGGTGAAGATATCGTTCGGATAGCCTTGCTTGCCGCCGCTGTAGGATTGAATCTTGTTGATGTGCTCCATCAGTAGCAGGAATGGGCAATTGGACGGCTGCTTTCGTGATGGTGGCGGAGAGGGAGAGGAGATAGAGAGGAATGGGTTGGGTTGGGGTGGGGTGGTGGGTTGGGTTAGGTTTAATTGGTTTTTATTTTATTTTTTATTAAATATTTTGCTGACGTGGAAGCTGACATGATTGCTGATTAAATCAAAATAACAGAATTTTGAATGGAGTTGGATGAAATTACCTTTTTGTTATTAGTCAAGTCAAAAGATTTGTTACTAAAACGTACAAAATTAAAGGATTGTGACCGTTTTGTACAAAGTGAATAGTTTTGTGACCATTTATGATAACTACCCAACTATAGCTAACATCACAGAACTCAGAAAGCATCATACACGCTACTAAGCGCGCGTGGGTGGGATCCTTCCTTTTGATTCCTTCTTTTTTCCTTTTTGTCTTTTCAAAATTTTGTATTTATCATCTTTAATTTGCTATGTTTTTGTGACGAGCTGTAGCAAGCCCAAGCACCAAGCAGCAACAACAATGCATCATTAATATTCCTCTTTCTCTCCCTTTCTCCACAGCTGCAGACAGCCCAATGGTCTCCACAGTCCCAACACTGAACTCACCCACGCACTGCGGGTTTTTACAGCCTCTTCGTCACTGTAAAAAAAAAAAAAAAAAAATCAACTCTCCGAAAATTGCTACTGACTTCTTTAATAAAACAGGCATTCACAGTCAATCAAAGTAGGGCTTATCTTGTACAGTCAAAAGTTTACCAGTCATTATTGAATGAGGGTAAGAATGTAAGATACGAATTATGAATGGTGACATTCAGCACCATCATCTTTCCACTATTGATATTATTGCACCTACTGTACTCTCAAACACGTACGTAATAATACGAAAAAACATCAACAATATATAATCTGTACAAGTTTTGTGCCAATTACAATAGCATAGCCTGAAGCAAAGCATTTTGCTTTTAGTTTTGCTGGGAGAGAAAGAGACGAAAGGGAGAGTGTTAACTGTCAAGTGAAATAGTAAAAGCAAGTGAATGGCAGAGGCAGGAGCAGAGGCATGCTCTTCTCCCACTAACTCTTTCTCTCTCTCTCTGACTCTCACACAGAGTTAAGTTACTCCTTCTTCTTCTTCTTCTTCTCTTATCTTCTCTTTACAAATAAAAATTTTGACTGGTAATTTTAGAGAGAGAGAGGGAGAGTATTATTGTTGAAGTAGTGTGGAAGCAGGAAGAAGAATGGAATTCGAGGATCAACCAGAGCTTCACGAACAAGAAGAAGAGGAGGAAGATGAAGACGGATACGAAGACGAAGACGAGGCTAATGAAGAGAGGTTTGTGGCGACCTACGATTTGGTAGGAAATAACAACAATGATATTCATAGCCCCTCCAGCTCCCGACCAAAATTAAGCACCGCTACCGGCACACAGGAGCAAACGCCGGCGGTGGGGGGGACGCCGACGAGGAGGAGCAAGTACAGAGAGTGCCTGAAGAACCAGGCGGTCGGGATCGGATCCCACGCGGTGGACGGTTGCGGGGAGTTCCTGCCGTCCGGACCAGACGGCACCGTCGACGCCCTCAAATGCGCCGCCTGCACCTGCCACCGCAACTTCCACCGCCGCGAAAACGGGGAGTACTCCACCACCGCATCACCGCCGCTCTTCTTCCACCACCACCACCACGCCGCCCTTCTTCCTGCTCCCCCGCCGCCTCACCTCCCACCGCCATCGACGACGAGGCCGCAGCAATTCGCTCCTCACTACCGGAGCAGCGCCGCCAGCGCTACCGCGGGGAGGAGCAACAAGAGGAGGCCGCCGCCTCTAACATTGCCGTCGACGGCGGCGACGGCGTCGGATCAGGAGGTGGAGGGTGGGTCGAATCCCAGCAGCGGAGGCGGAGGCGGAGGAGGGAGGAAGAGGTTCAGGACGAGGTTCACGGCGGAGCAGAAGGAGCGGATGTTTGAGCTGGCGGAGAGGCTTGGGTGGCGGATCCGGAAGGAGGACGAGGCGGTGGTTGAGCAGTTCTGTCAAGAGTGGGGATTGAGGCGTCAAGTTCTTAAGGTTTGGATGCATAACAACAAACACACCCTCGGCCTCATTCCTAACAACAACAACAACAACAACAACAACAACAACCCTTCCCCTCACTTACAGAATTAGGAAAGCTTTGATTAGGATTTACTACAGCCTGTTGAAGAAGTGGCCTTGGTGCTAGGAATATGGATTCGAAACTGAGACCTTTTGAGACGAGTTCGATATCTTACAAGTCACTTGGGTTTCTAGTTAGGGTTTGTTTTCATTTGTTTGGGATTCCTTTCTTCACTGGGTTAGAGTTGTAGACATATATATTAGGTTATTACTGGTACGTGGAAGGAAGGAAGGAAGGAATTGTGAGATTAGATATTGATCCTGCTAATTAATTGCATTTTCAATGGGTGAATAACAATTCCCCCAGTGGTGTGATGTGAAATCAAGAAAGGCAAAAAAAAAAAAAAAACAGAAAAGAGAAGATGTGGTGTTCCTTCCTTGGCATTTTGTTGTCTGCTGCAGCTACTTGCTTGCTGCATTGCATATGATTGTGTGGTGTAGAGAAAACTTTGCTTTGTTTTCTGCAGCATTGCAGTGACCAGTGGGTTTCGCTTCCCAAGGTTTTCCAATGTCCAATGTATTATCACTTACATCATCGGTACTATTTGCTAGCATGAGAAGAAGAAGAAGAAGAAGAAGAGAATTGTGGGTTATAGAGAGTTGCTGCCTGCCTAGGCCAGCAATTAATTACTCGTTATGAGGTAGCTGGTACTGTTCATAATCTTGATAAAAATTCCATTCTCTATCTCTTTCTGACTTCCATTTCCATGCCTATGTTGAAGGTAGGAATGAAGGAGATAGAGTAGCTAGTTAGCTAGATGGTTGTAGTTGTTTGGAGGCTGAACCGGAATCTATGCATCTATGCTTTCATATTGTTGGACCGCGTGACAATAATTGTATTAGAGATATACAACGGTAATTTTCATGTTCATTAAATCACACACTATATTTGAACCATCTAACACATGCATGCAACGGTGGTGACAAATTTATAAAAATGATTAGGGGTGGATATAAGGTATGCTATCGGTATCTAGTGATGGCAATGGGGCGGTGCGGGTACGTGGCGGGGGCGGGTCGACCCACTATTACATGTTATTTGAAAATAATATGCGGAAAATTTTACTCTTTGCCATAAAAACAAAGGGAAAAACACTTTATGAATGAAAAGTAGTGAGAATAGAATGGGTAATTGAGTCTAACTTATTGAAAGATCAAGTCTAATCGGTTGAAAAATGCCAAAATAGAAGAAATATGAACAGATACTAGGTAAAACTGCAATGAAATGGGTCAAGAATGGGGCGGGGCAGGACGGGTTGGAAGTAGATACCCATGCCCCGCACCATTCTACTATGGGGCGGGTATTGACGGGTTGGAAGTAGATACCCATGCCCCGCACCATTCTACTATGGGTCGGGTAATACCCGCCCCATCGCGGGCCAGGTTGTGTAATACCCGGCGGGGCGGGTTCAAATTGCCATCCCTATCTTTATCGCAATACTAAATAACAACGTCATGAAATCAAATAGTATGTCATGAACTCAGTCCCAAAATAAATTCGGCGTCTAAGTTATAAATTAAATATATATACCCAAATACTAGCTCCACAAATCATTCTCAAAATATTTAAAAACAAACAATGATGTGGTACAAACACTCATGCAAAATAGATAGGAAAATCTCAAGTATAATAACAACACACTAGAAAAATGTAATTCCTAAAAAGCACATAATAAACAAGGCAAAAAAACTGAAACATGGGATGATTAAGCAACAATAAACATACTATACAAGTACCAAAATGGGCTTGGTATGAGTTGTCAAATAGTGAGGGAATGATCAGCTATGTGTAATTAAGTTACCATCTTGGCAGTTCAGGGTCTGGTAGTAGTGAGTTGAGAGAGAAAATACACACTCTCTTATATTTCGGTATTTCGATATATAATGATCTCAATCGCGTAATCCTTAAATACCAAATATGGAGATCTTCGATATTGTATTTAGTATATCCCAAATACCGATACCATACTTCCTGCCCTAAAATTCCTGATGTGTGCGTATTAAATCGTTAAAATTACACGGAATAAGCAACAGCCAACATTGTGTTATCTCCATTGTCACCTCAAGATCGTTGACGCACGTGATAGTGGAAGGTGATTCCGAGGTGGTCGTCAACCAGTTCCGACAAGGTGACTTAGAAGGTTACTTTGGAGTTTCGGTACTCAAGGAGTGTCGTTAAACCCTATACTCTTAGTCTATTTGTACAAAGTATAGAGCTGTTCTTAGAGCCGCCAACAGAGGATCTGTGGCTGGTTGAACAAACTGAGCAAATCACTGCTATTGTCTATCATAGAATTAGAATCTTTCGACTTTTTAAGTGGGTTCACTAGAATGTCGCTTGTAAAGAATTCCTTAATAATTTTGTTTGTATAACTCTTGTGCTCTTTTAATATTACTCGAAAATCAAAATAAAAACATTTCTTTGGTTTCACAGGCACAACTACAATACAAAGTTCAAGCTAGTGCTCCTGGATCCATGTATGCTTTTCTTTTCTTTTCTTTGGGACAGAAATGTTGTTGTTGGGATGGCATTTGGGTTTTGCCTTTGCGTCCATTCAATGTGGGATTCTTTAATTTGGGCATTTTGCTGCCTTTGATTAAAGCTTACATGCTTCCATTCTCCCCACCGCCCTAACTCATCCCACCTTTGTGCTGTCTTTTCTTTTCTTTTTTTGTCTTTTCCTTTCTGCTTCTTTTAAGCAGCGCCACAGTCCATCCCCACCTCTTCTTCTCTGCTTGCATTCTGCATTTAATTTGACTCAGTTTGTTCAACCAGCCACAGAGCCTGTGTTCCAGAATTGTGCGTCTCCCTCCCTCCCTCTCTCCAACGTAGCAGAATTCTCTCTTCTTCTTTTAAATGGTTTTATTTAATCCATTAATGTGCATTATGTATGATATATATTACTAGGTTAATGGCCTGCCCTCTGCAGCAGGACAGTGAAACCTTATTATTGATATATCTAATTATTTTATGCAACTTAATAATCCATATCTTTGGAACCTGATTGCAAGGGAACCTGATTGCTTGAAAAGGGCAAAGAAGGTTTTGTTTGTGGCGAGTAACCCTGCGCCTCAGAAGACAACGCGCTTCCTCTTCACCTCGATTGCACGCACTGCTTCTGCACACAAAGGCGCCCACCGAGCCCCTACTTTAGAGCTCGTTAGCACTTCGACGCCCAAATTAGGACGGTCGTTTTAGAGAGTGATGTGGGATGTAGTTCTAGAGAGAAATTCTAACCTGAGTAAATGAGCTCTACCAACTTCACTGTTTATACTCAGGGTAGGGGTCGACCACTGCCACAGTACATCCCCACCTCTTCTTCTTTACTTGCATTCTGCATTTAATTTGACTCAGTTTGTTCAACCACAGAGCCTGTGTTCCAGAATTGTGCGTCTCCTTCACTCTCTCTCCAACAGAATTCTCTTTTCTTCTTTTAAATGATTTATTTAATCCATTAATGTGCATTATGTATGATATATATTACTAGGTTAATGGTCTGCCCTCTGCAGCAGGACAGGACAACCTTATTATTCATATCTCTAATTATTCTATGCAACTTAATAATCCTACATAAATTGGAGTGGTCTCCTATTAGAATAGTATAGTAGATGTGGTGGAGGATGAAGAAATGTTACATCGGAGTGTTCTCTTCTCAAAATTAAATTAATAATTAAATAAAAAGTCCGATTTACATGAAATATAACAAAGCAAATGATGTGTTTGTATTTTGAAAAAATTGTAAAATAAAATCATTGTCGAACAACTCTTGATATAACCTACTAGACAAGGGAAGCCCGTGATCGGGTTTAATCGTTAGCTTTTAAAAATAATTGGAGATAAAAAAAGCTTTTTACTATAATATTTGGATATAAAAATACAAAAAACAAATGAGTTGTAGTATAATGAAAAATGTGTTTACTTATAGTATTAACGACCCAAGTTCAAATCACATAGACTAACACTTAAATGTTTTTATTTACCTATACACAAACTACTATTGGGAGTTAGATAATCGTTTTTGCAAATTTTATCGATGTCCCGCTAGCACGTAAATATTTTTTTATTGATATGAAAACTACTATTGGGGTTGAATAACAGTGCTCCGGAATTTTAAGTTCCATGGATCCGCCACTAGATGTGATCAGCTAGCCCTAGGTAGGATGGATTCTCTTTAGTGAATATAATTCCAACAGCTGGGACTTGGGAGCCAGTGCAGGCAGGCAGCTAGGGAACCTGATTGCTTGAAAAGGGCAAAGAAGGTTTACTTGTGTGGGAGGAGAAGATGATGAAGTGAGTTTTGGAACTGTGCATTCAGTTTCCATATCTGGTATGTATGGACTCAGTTGTTCCAAAGCTGGGTAGCAAGAAAATGTTCCTGGTTGTTGAGGGTTTAATTTGCTTCTTCAGGTGTCCCAACCACAACCACAAGATTTTGTGGCCACATCTTTCACAACTTCGGGAATCTCTGCCTTCCCCTCATGTTTCTTGGAATTTATTTTTATAACATATGTAAAATATATATACAATCATTGCTATAAAGAAACGGGAGAAAGAACACAAAAAAAAAAAAAAAGAGGAAGAATCATGTAAAGCTGCTACGCGTTGTTATTATAGCTCATGTAATTAAATAATAATAATAATAATAATTTCCACCATTTGTCATGATGAGAAACCTCCCGTTCTTTTTTATGGTCGTCGACAAAATTGTATGCACCAATCATCTATTTTATGAACTTTTTCACATATTTATAAAAATACTAGATAGTCCTAAAGTTCGTGGTGGTGCTTTAGAATTCCAATGTACTGCGTCCAAGATCAAAACGAGCTTGTCAACGGACCACTACTATCCATTCTGGAGTGAGTTGGAGTGCAGCCATCTTATTCACTAAATTAGCTAGAAGCTATCGCTTCGGATCTGCGATATGTGATTTGATCGAAATTCTGATTTTACAGTTTTGGAATGAAAAACTGTCATCACGTTTAATCGAAATTCTGATTTCCTGCTTCGGGCAAAAGAAAGAGTGTTAACTTGTCGTTAAATGGGTTTTCACACTGCTCGCCTAAATAATAATCACAGTAAGAGAAATAGTGTGGTTCGATTCTGTTGGCAGTGCAATGGGTAGGTACGTAGGGAATCTCGGTCAAAAGATTGCCCCATTGCCCATGGCCCATGGGTCTCGATAAAAGATAGTGACTATTCACACAACTATATTACCCTCTCTCTCCTTTTGGGTTTTACTCTAGTAGCTATGCATTTATGCGTTTTTTCTTATGGTTCTGTTAAGGTTGTCAAATCTGTATCCGACTGGCTAGTTTAATAGGGTCTGATCGGAATTGATCTTGTAAATGATTGGAATACACTTCGGTTTGACGGCTCTCAGAAAAAAAGTCAAAATTAGGTTAAACCAATAAAAATTGTTTTAAACCAGTTAAAACTGGATGGTATGACCAGTAAAAACATATTTCGAAGATGATGATTGATAATTTAGTAATATATATTTCTTTTGAAGAAATAATTTGATAATATATGAACATAGATTAGTGAGATTGTTTGAAAATATGCCAAAAATATATATAATCTATTTGGTATTAGAGATTTTCTCACATGTTATTTATGTTAAAACCAACTTGAACTCATTGAATTTGATTCTACTATTAAAACCTCAAAACCAATAGTCAAATTGGCTCGATGACTTAATCTGATTTGACAACTTTAGTTTTAGTATAGAGGTAGTATTTGGTATGTCAATTAATGATATAATCGGTTACCATGTGACGAGATCGAGCTCGAGAAAAATTAGGACTACCTCTTCAACTTCCATCCAATTTTCTTTCTTTCTCTAATTTGATAAAGGGAGTAATAAATCAATGTCGGGGAAATGATTTTTTTACCCTTTGTTTATAGCTGTTTTGGGATATGGGTTTTTTAGTTCTCGGGCGAAGTAGATGGGTTTGTGTGTTAGTGTCAGAGAGGAATCCCCACCTTCTACATAATTACCTCCAGCAAAAGAGGCACGAAGAGGCAGAAGAGTCGGGTGGAGGGGTACGAGGGGTATCCGGATGGTGAAGAAGCGGGCTGGTACCGGAATAGAGAGCCACAGAACCAGAGGGACTAGCGCAGCAAAGCTCCAGGGTATGACATGTATGGTGGGCACTCTCGTGGGTATGATATGGATGATGATCTTGTGTTTTAGGCTAAACCTCCAACCATTGAATTCCCAAAGTTCAATGGTCGGGAGGATGCCGGGATATGGTAGTATGTAGCTGATAGGTGGTTCAAGAACCACACTTGGGAAGAACGAAAGGCGCAGCTAGCGTCATTTTATTTGGAGGGTGATGCCCTACAATGGTGGGAGTGGATGGAGCGGTCCTAGGCAGGAGCACATACATTGATCACCTGGTCCATTTTTAAGGAGGAACTCTGTTATCAGTTTGGGAAGTCAGAAGGGTGGGCTCCGGAGCAATTGGCTAAGCTGCGGCAGATAGGGACAGTGGCAGAATACCGAGCAGAGTTCTTCAAGTTGGGCAACCCGTGCAAGGGAGTGTCGGAGGAGACGTTGGTAGGGTTATGTATGGCCTCCGGCCCGAGATAGCTGCAGTGGTGTGTGTATTAGAGCCCGACTCTTTGCAAACCACCTTTCGTCTCGCAAGTAGCAAGGAGGAGGAGCTAGCGAGCTGGAGAAGTACCATTGGTCGATATCAGAAGCCAGTAGGAGGATGCAGTGGCGGTGGACCGAGCAGCGGGAGCGGAGGGGCGCTAACTGGGGCCAACACCGGCGCAATCACAGGGTCGACCTCTGCAGTGGTCCGTTTTGGGCCCCGAGCTCCACCAAAAGGATTTACCAAGTTGTCTCGAGCGGAGATCGAGCAGAAGAGGAGGGAAGGAAAGTGTTTCAATTGCGATGAAAGGTTCACGGTCGGGCATAAGTGCGGGAGGCTCGATTTGATGTTTCTGGCAGGGCGCTGGGAGGATGAGGCAGAAGAAGAGGCCGCAGAGAACACGAAGCTGGGCCAGGATTAGGAGCTTCAACCTTGAGGACAAGGTTGTTCTCAAGGAGGCGGGAATGTTAGAAACACAATTAATTGTTATTTCGTTATTTTGGGATTATTTATCATTGTTTAAGGATTTGGGTTATTTGGGGGATTTGGGGAATAAGTAAGAAGGGTATTTTGTTAAGTCGAATTAGTTGGGTAAGAAACGGTAATTAGTTGGGATATATATTCTGTAATTAGTGGGACTTTCTCATTAAGCAATTATAGAGAACCTAATCCCCAACCTATTTGCCCCTAGAATGTTCCTAGGGCTAACATAGTAATTATGGGGCTCTGATCTGGACTTCCTCATCCGATCTCCTCGGGAGTGGAAGAACCTGTGAGGCAGGGGCGGCCCCCGGGATCTACGCTCTGACGCCGAAGTTAGTACGATATAGGAGAGAGTGTATGATGGAGAGATAAAGTAGAGAGAGACCTTAGGGGTAAGTCAGGAAAGGAAGAAGAGCATCCCTAGTTTGGAGGGTTAGGCCTCCTTATATAGGCTGTGGGCCTCCTTGAGTGGGCTTGGGCCCAGGACGCCTTGCGATGGACTTGGGCCCGTTAATAGTCGCGTTAGGCATATTAATCCATATCCCAACAATTGCCCCTTTACTTCTTGTATTCTGTAAGAATGGAAGGATTAACATAATGCGTTAATCGTGTATTAATTTGCCTTACTTGCGAATCCGGATGATGCGCTTTGCCCCTTGTGCGAGTTGAGTGATCCTTTCTTTTGCCCCTTGCTTAGCTTTCGATGTCTTGAACTAAATCTCTCAATTCGTTAAGAGTTCCTTCGCTAGTCTATTGTTGTTAGCGCTAGCAAGCCCTAACTATGAGCTAGGTAGGGTGGCCCCACGGCTTGAGAGTTTTAACTTAAGACACTCTTGTGTCTCACCAATGTCGCGCCCATATGTGTCTGGAGCTCATGTGTCTTGTCAATGTCTTGATTGTGTGAGGAAAGATCAACTATTATCTTCTTATTGATGTTGCCCCTATTAGGAGACGGTTCGTCTTCTAGCATGTTGGTTCTTACTTTTAGCCTAGCGAGAGGCATTGTATCCTTCCGCTTCCTGGGAAGCGCATTAGTCCTTCGAATTCCTGGGAAGCGCTTTAGTATTTCAGCTTCCTGGGAAGCGCATCGGTCCTTCGGCTTCCTGGGAAGCTCTTTCGTCCTTCGGCTTTCTGGGAAGCGCTTAAGTCTTTGGCTTTCGGGGAAGCGCATTAGTCCTTCGGATTCATGCGAAGCGCATTGCTACTTTGCTTCCTGGGAAACACATTTCTCCTTCACCTCCTGGGAAGCGCATTAGTCCTTTGGCTTCCTGGGAAGCACATTGCTCCTTTGCTTCCTGAGAAGTGCATTGCTCCTTCACTTCCTGGGAAGCGCATTAGTCCTTTGGCTTCCTAGGAAGCTCTTTCATCCTTCATGTTATAAACGTGTTGCTACGGATCAGGAAATCGCAGGAATCGACAAAGCAAGAATACGAAATTGAGAATCGAAAACACGACACACGATTTACGTGGTTCACTAACACGATGTGTGTTAGCTACGTCCACGGGCGAGAGAGAGCCAGTTTCACTATATCAAGGAGATTACAAATTACAGAGGAGTATGAGAAGTATTTATAGTACTTCTCCATGTGGGTCTAAACAGATTACAGCGAGACCCCCGATTACCAGCCGTAGCGGCTGATAGTCCGATTCAAGTCACATCAACACTTCAGCTTTCTGAGAAGCACTTAAGTCTTCGGCCTTTGAGGAAGCGCATTAGTCCTACGACTTCCTGGAAAGCGCATTTCTCCTTCGCTTCCTGGAAAGGGAATTGCTCCACGCTTCCTGGGAAGCGCATTGCTCCTTCGCTTCCTGGGAAGCACATTGCTCCACGCTTCCTCGGAAGCGCTCAAGTCTTCGGCTTCCTGGGAAACGCCTAAGTATTTTGACTTTCTGGAAGTCTGAAGGCGGTCTTCGTGATTTGCCCGGAGGTCGAAGGTATGAATCATTCCCGAAGGGTGCATTGCTTGGAGGCGAAAAACATTCTCTAAAGGGAGCATCGCTCCGAGGCGGGAAGCATTCCCAAGAGGGAGCATCGCTCAGAGGCGAGAATCATTCCTAAAAGGGAGTATCGCTTGGAGGCGGGAAACATTCCCTATAGGGAGCATCGGTCGGAGGCGGAAGACATGAGTCGTCCCCGGAGGAAGCATCGCTCGGAAGCGGGATGCATTCCCTAGAGGGAGCATCGCTCGGAGGCGGTCTTCGAGTATTGCCTGGAGGTGGAAGGCGTGAGTCTTCATATATCCATGAAATAAGTGATTGACTTTTGTCCAATTTATTTAGAACATATTACATTGCAGGTTTAGTATGTTTGTAATGAGCCTCTTCATGGTATAGCATTTGTGAGATATATTGTTGATAAATATATTTTGCTTGTTTGTAGACGGCGGCAGAGAAGTGCTCAAACTTTGTGTGTTGCAAGATGGTTTCACAAAGATGCATTAGCTCACTAGTAGACGCCCTTGTTTGTTATATTCAGGTTGCGCATTCGAAACCCAACGGAGGCATTTTTAATTTAAGGGCTGCTGAAGCTCAATGGATGTGGAGCGGGCCGGGCAAGTTTGAAGCGTGATGAATCTAGGCGGTCCATTTGACGCGAGGCGGGGGGAGACCATATATGAAGCAGGCTAAGACTTTGCGGTCCTAATGATGTGGCGGGCCGCCTCGGACGCGAATAGGAGGTGATCCGACTAGATGATGCGTCTTTACTATATGCGGAGATGGGTTGGAGGCGGTCTTGGGCCTGATGGGAGGGTTGTCATACTGGAATTCATTAAATATGGAGATGGGCTGGAGGCGGTCCTGGGCCTGATGGGAGGCGGACTGACTTCGTATGATGGAAATCACTAAGCGGTGCTTCATTGGAGGCGTGCTTTTGAGTTAAAACATTAGAGTGGTTATATAAATTCATTAGATCCAAGTGTAGCATGTTGTTGAAGTGTCTGACTTGAAGAAGCCTTGATCCTGGTTCAATTCTTGTGCAAGGCATATTTCTTTTAATTTTAAAGTTGAAGGCGCTTCAAAGGCTTAGACGTGGGCTTAGATGGCGGGGCGGGCCCTGAGTATAAGCGTGTCTGCGGCTTAAGTGCTTCTGGTCATTGAATGATCCAAATTTAAGGCTTCATGGGCTAAGACGGATATGAGGCTTGAGGTAGGTTGACTAGCTAGGAGGACTGGGCGGTTGAAACCCCGCTTTGTAGATTGGACGCGAAAGAGGCATAGCGGCTCAAAGTGTTGAGCGGGCCCTCTATTCGAGTCGGATCTGAGTCAAATGCGTTCTGATTTGCAAGGCGGGCCGGATATAAATTGTGGAATAACAAGGTGGGCCCAATACCCACCTTTACAAAAAGTGACTCTGATGTGACCCCACTATAGCAAAAATGCAGAGTACCCTTCTTTTTGAGTCACAAAAGTCAAAGATGTTGAGTTAGAGTGTAAAAGTAGCGGCAGAGCAGTTTTTGAGGAACGACATGACAACAGAGGATGACTATGAGGCTTCTTCTTCCTTTTTCTCGCCGGAGCTACGGCCGCGAGTTGTGTTTCCGACTGGCAAGGTCGCACGAACCAGGCAATTTTTTCCTCTTTTTCTTCAGGTGTTTCTCATCTTCTTTGCTAGATGGTCTTCTAAATTGCTTGGTGCGGTTGCTCACTTGCTTGTCTTGGAGGAGGAAGGATTGAATCCTTACCAAAGAAAACTAAATCTGAGGGGAGAGACGCCAGGGCTGTCGGAGACGAGCAGCTGGTGGACAATGATGACGGCGGTGAATTGCGATGGCTGATCTGATTTGTCTCGAAAGGCGACGAAGGAGATCTGGAGAGAGGCAGATCTGATTGAATCGACGAGGGAGACAGATGAGGAGAAGCTCTGCTGGCTAGGATTTCACTTCTCTGATTTTCAACCGCCTTTAAGGTCGACAAAGATAGGAGTGCATAGGCGTTAATGAAACAAATAGTTGGTGTTGAGCGGCGATGATGTCTGGCGGCATGGAGACCTTATGGCAGCAGCGGGTTGTGATGGGGACGACGATGGAAGGTCATCGCCAGTGGTTTGGGTGGAAACTCCTCCCCGGGGTTTTGGCGGGACAACATTTATTTTGCAGGGATGGGGAGAGATTATTCTTCACAAAAGTAGCAGGGCATGTTGTGCTTGGGATTTTTATTGCTTCTTGGCTTGTGGTTTACAGGTTGGGCTCCTGATGACGACGAGAATGGAAGCTGTTGCTGGTCGTGTTGTGGCCGTAGACGTTATGGTGGAGCGAACGGCAGAGGAAGCAGACTCTGTCATCAGAGTTGTGCTTGCAGTGCGGTGGAGTAGCGAAGGAGTAGGAGGAAGAGCCAGCGGCTCTCGACCATAATTGATAAAGGAGGAGCTGGTTTCTTCCCTCTTTCATAGACCAAACAAACGAATTTTGAATTGAAGCCCCACGGTGGGCGCCAAATTGTTTGACCCTAGAATGTTCCCAGGGCTAACATAGTAATTATGGGGCTTTGATCTTGACTCCCTTGTCCGATCTCCTCGGGTATGGAAGAACCTGTGAGGCGGGGGCCGCCCCCGGCATCTTCGCTCCGATGCCCAAGTTAGTACGATATAGGAGAGAGAGTGTATGGTGGAGAGATAAATAAGAGAGAGACCTTAAGAGAAAGTCAGGAAAGAAAGAAGAGCATCCCTAGTTTGGAGGGTTAGGCCTCCTTATATATGGTCTGGGCCTCCTTGAGTGGGTTTGGGCCCAATACGCCTTGCGGTGGGTTTGAGCCCGTTAATAATAGCGTTAGGCATATTAATCCATATCCCCACACCATCCCTAATCTCTTCCTCTCTCTATTCATCTCCTGCGTCTCTATCTTTTCCTTCCCCTTCACTTGTTGTCGCAGCCTTCCTCTCCTCCTTTCCCTCTCATTCTTCCAAATCCCATCTCTCAAAATTCCCCAAATCAATCAATCCCTAGTTGATTGAGTTATTTCCCAAATCGAGACCAGTTAGAAACCTTGTCTCTAACATTAAAGCATCAATTTTTTATAGCATAGTAGAAGTACTCACAAAATCGATCTCGTTGTAAGATTTCCAACACTTGCGCGAACAACCCTTAGAATCAAAATCTTACATAATGAACAGAGAAACACGAGAATTCTATCAATAATGCGCTGCTTTCTTCACAAAGTGTATAATAAAAATCCACACAAACAATATAGATAGATGACTCCAAGACTACATCGATCCCACTTGCAAGTCGCATTCACCTCATTTTATTACTCGTAACACAAGAAAAGATATTTGCGAATTGCCTCACTCGCTCAATATTTCCAGCCGGATTTCTTCACCTTGACGACATCATCATCACGATCAAGATTCCCATGGCGGCGCCCTCTCCTTAAAAGTTGCCCCGAACCAGCAATCGTCGCAGAGTATCCACCAGTTGACGCAGTTGGTGGTGATGACGATGACGATCTTCTTAAACTCTTCTCCCAATCAAATTTCTTATGTTTGTGGCCACGGTCACTACTACTGCTAGTCGTCAGAGCTTCTCTCTTGATCTCTTTGATCTCCATCTTACTGTTATTACCATGATCACCACTTCCTCCTTCAAGCCTTACGCTTATCACCCACACTTCCGAACGTAGAGGTGTGGCATTGTCATTGTTGGGCTTAATCGAAGCTCCTTCCATGTGTTGATAGAGGCGGTGCATTCGCAGCACCAGCTGGCAAATCCCGTCCTTGATCTCCAGCTCCATGCTCTTCTCGATCTCCTTCTCCAGCTCCTCCCTAATCTTCAGCTCTTTTTTCGACGCCATACCGAATGTCGTCACAACGCCTTTTTAATGCTATTAATACAGGGTGATGGATGATAAAGATGATAATGATCACCAAAACAGATGAGTATGTGTGTATATATACGAGGGACAGAGATTAATTTGAAGGGAGTTGTTGGGTGGATTTGAATTCTCTAATTCCTAATTGCTTCTAATTCAAGGTCGGGTTGATTCGAATTTGGGCGCCAATGCAAAATTATCCCTGAAATGATCAAGTGTGTGAGTTGGGTTTACTGAAGGTAACAAAGACACGGCAATATATTTTGAAGAGATGTCAAAACAAGCAGTGCTTTCCGTCAAAGGGAGTATACAGAGAGAGGGTGTCATATGGGATGGAGGTGGCGGAGCTGAGCTGAGAGGGGCGGGTTTTTGGCTTTGAAGCAAAACCCACATGGTGTTTGATGTGTATGTTTGTCTATTTGGGTCATTTGATTGCATTCCGTGCCTAAGAAGAGGAATGGAAATTGGTTCAACTGTCAACGCAGGCCCCCCTGCCTCTAACCTGAAATGGGATGTCGAATGGGTTTTATAGTCATTTGGGTAAAAAGCCCATCCATCATAACAATGGTAAAAAGCCAATCCATCATAACCGTGGTCCATTAATGAAATACATCTTAGAACCAAGGATCGGACCATCATTGCATTCGGTCCATTTGGTCCAGTTCGGTCCGCTCCAAATATTAGCTCGATCCATTATTTCTGCAGCAATTATAAAATTCATGTGGACCAAGTAGCAAACCACATTATACTAGGTTCGGTGCGGTCCGGTCCAAACTTTGGTTTGTTCCGGTGGGGTCCGGTACGGACCGGACCATTGCACACCCCGAACTCTGGCATCTTATCACATGGAAGGAGATGCAAATCAATGGTGGTAGTGATTGGAATGCAATTACACTACGATAGGATTGCCGATCACTTGGGTAAGATTCAAGAAAGAGTTATGGGCACGTTTTGGGCTAGCGAATGGGCATCTAGCCATGAAGCTCTTGCCAAAATTAAGCAAACAGGGTCACTTAGTGATTATTTGTTTGCATTGAGAAACTTGGTAATCGATGCTATGGATGGACGAAAGAAGCATTGGTGGGATCATTTATTGGAGGGCTCAAACCAGAAATATCAGATGTTATCCGGATGTTCCGACCAGAAACGGTGCGAGAGGCCTTCGTCTCGCCAAGGTGAAAAATGAAGAAGTTAGAAAGCATCGTCTAGTGGTTCGAGGGATTCCACGACAAGGCATGGAGGCATGGTCTTCATCGACGGCCGCATCAACACCACATGAGCCACCTCGTCAAACTGTGATACAACGGATGTCCCCAGAAGAAGTAGCTCGATGTCGTGCACAAGGATTATGCTTCCATTGTGATGAGCGCTTCACCATTGGCCCCCGTTGTGCGAATAACAACCTTCTTCTCATGATTGGCGCATGCGGTGAAGGGGAGGAGGGCACATTCATCGAGGAGGAAGACCAACCTCGAGGGCAAGGTTGTGCTCAAGGAGGGAGAGATATTACGAGATCGGGCCATTGTAGCATTTCGCAAAAGACTGGACTTGTGTATCTTTAGTATTTAATTATTACTTCGTATTTGGATATTATTGGGTCTTTATTATGATTGTCTTAATTAGTGTTTTCCTTGTTCAAGTTGGTTTTGGTTATTGTTAGTTGTTTCCTTAGAGAAGTAGGAGTCATATTCTAGAAGGGAAAAGGTAGAGGCTTCTATATCTATAAATATTTACTTGTTTCATTTGTTTAATGATAAGAAAATTGGAACCCAAATATTTAGGTTTTGCTATTTCCTTAGTTATTTCCTTTGAGGGTTCTTTGTGTTTTGTCCCTTTTACGAGAAAACCCTAAAAACTCCATCCCCTTACATCACATACCGTAACAGTCAAATGGGCGTCCTCGTCGAAAGCAGAGGACTCGTCACTCGTTAGTGGCCAGCCTTCCTCGACTGTAAGTCGTCTTGCCAAAATCAATTGGTCTCGAGCCTCTCCCTGAAGGTTGAAAGACGATTCGCGACCTGCTCCTCCGTCCTCCAATTCGACTTCTCCAGGCAAACAGAAGAGGAAGAACGAAGATCCTAAATATGCACTGTCGGGCGCAGCCAGCTCTCCCCCGTCTCGTCTCTTCCCTCTGTCCTTCTACCTCTTCCTCATGTCTTCCTTCGTCTCTCCTTGGCGATAGAGGCGGAAGTAGATCCTTCTCCGTCGTCCATAGCGCGATTTAGCGGCGAGATTCTACAATCGGATCCTGAAATTCGGCCAGATCCACCCCCTGCGTCGGTCTTCAGCTAACCGCGACACCGACCCGAATCCATCGACGACGGTTTTCGGCTAACCGACAAGTCAATCGGGGTCGGTGGGAGTTGAGGTTTTTGGATGATTTTCGGTTGCAGTTAACCACGTTTGCGGTTTGGTTAAAACCGAAACTGCACTGCTAACAGCCCTAAAAATTCCCACTAATTTATACATAGCTCATTCTCATCATTCTGGTGTTGGTTCGGGTGATAATAATAAGGAACAGTTAATCTATTTGCGTCTATGGTATGAAGAGTTTAGCTATGTTAGATTGGTAGTCATGCTTAGTTATTTTAATTAACTGTTGTAGCCTATTACATTTGACACCTTCTTTCATGATCTCATAAAAGTATGTCTACTATAGATTGGTAGTTTTGATTTTTGAATTCAATTAATTTAGCATTCAATATTATCAAATTTATTTTGGAATTTGAACTGCAATTGAATTTAGAACGTTAGTTGATATCCTGAATTTCGATATTTGATAGTAAAATACCAATATCATGCTCGGATTGTCCTATGGCACTTGTTTTGACTGGCCGTAAGTTGCTTCAAAAGCTTCCTTTCGTCCTCAGACCAACACCAAGGAGGCGGCACGAATTCATGCTACATAAAATTTGGGGTTAATTGCATGGTTGGTCACTGAGATTAGAAAAAACGTTCAAGTTTGGTCACTCGAAATATTTAAATCTATTAGTGGTACTTCACTTTACAAAAACCGTTCACGTTTGCTCACTCTCCGTTAGCTGTCGTCCATCTCCGTTAAATGAATCCATTAAGTGATGACGTGGCGGACGAAATCGTCTAATCAACACTATTTAACACGAAAATAGTCTGACCCGACCTATCACGTCACGTCATTGAAACTCGCTAGCTCATTTAAACCTACCCAACCTTTTAACCAAACCAGACCACACCCGACCCGACCCACCAATATTAAATCCCTAAATCAAAGAAATATCAAACACCTTCCTCTTCTCCCCTGCCGCCGGTGCGGGGGAAGGCGGCCATCGACTTCAAGCCACAAATTCCTGGGGAGGGCCGACTCGAGGCGTGGCGCGAACGGGGGGTCTCTGAGGGGTTGGGTTACTAGTTCGAGCTGATTTCGGACACGAGCGGTGGGATGAACGCTGGCGGAATCGACGCTGAGCAGCCATAGAAGAGGGAAGCAACATTATCGACAAAATTGAAGATCTTACCACCAATTCCAGGAGAAAACTAATTTGGGCATGACCTAAGAGCGAGAACTTACAGTGGAGGACGGTCAAGAGCCTTGCAAATATAATCTACAAATTTAGTGTCTTCTGAAACTACAAGGTGCTCGACTCTCGGAGTGTAATTGTAAACCGGGCATGGTAACAGCGTAAAAGGGGAAGGGAAGTGCAGCAAGCGCAGCACGTGAACTGCACGGAGGATGCTGCCTGACTCATTGAAAGGAAAGCAGCCAAAATCCTCTGCTACTCGGCCCTTCCCAGGAATTTGAGGCTTGAAGTCGATGGCCGCCTGCCCCTGCACCGGCGGCAGGGGAGAAGGGGAAGGTGTTTGATTTTTCTTCGATTTAGGGATTTAATATTTATCAGATTGAAAATCCAGTTTTTCCCTCGTCTCCAACGGTCAGATTCCTCAACGACGATGTTTCCATCTTCTCGCTATGTTTCCTCACTGCGCCACCATTTCGACTTGTCCACTGCGCAGCCGTTTCATTTCAATTCTCATACGATGTCGTTCTTACCTTCCTTTTATGTGTGTACTTTCTTTTCCGCCAAGTTTTGTTTGTTTCCCTTCCAAGCTTCCAAACAAGCTGTATTGGAGCTTGTCTCCTTCACTTCTGTATCGCCTATATAAGGCAGAGAAAGCAATGAGAAAAGACAGATTCTAAGGTTTTTCCATTCCACAAACACTTCTTTGTTATGGTATCAGAGCCTGGGAGAAAACCCTAGCCGCCGCTTCTCTTTTACAATGGCTGATAACCAAGCTCAGCAAGACCCTGAGACTCAGCATCAACCTGCACTTGCCATCCAAGGTGCAAATCGTCGAGGTTTTTCCAAACCTCCTTACTGCACATTTTGCTAGAGGGAAGGTCATACAGAGGACATTTGCTTTCAAAAGCATGGCTGGCCTCCAGGCATGTCAAGGCCTTCCCCCTCTACTTCTGCTCCTCCCACCATCTGCAATTACTGCAAAAGAAGGGGTCATACAAAGGATAAGTGTTTCCAGAAGAATGGTTATCCTCCAAACTTTATTCCCAGAAATCAAAGTTCTGCTTTCCCAAGACCAAGACTTGCAGCTAATTTTGTACAAACTGCTTCATCTCCTGATGATGTTAAGCTATCCAGATCTGAGTATGACAAACTATTGACTTTAGTCCAGTCTCAAAAGGGTTCTTCCTCCTTTTTTGGTGTTGCATGCATACAACCATCAGGTACCAGTTCTGCATTTTCATCACTACAACCTATCAAGGATGATTCTCCTTTTCTTCAACCACGTTGGATTGTTGATATAGGTGCCTCAGACCACATAGTTTGTTCATTACATTATCTTACAGACCCCACTCCCTTGACCAGTGTTTTCATTACTCTTCCAACTGGCCGGAAGGTTCAGGCAACTCATTCTGGCACAGTTGTTTGTCATGATGAGCTAGTCTTACACAATGCCCTGTTTGTTCCTCACTTCACATTCAATCTCATCTCTGTCAGCAGGTTAACCTCCATCAATTCCCTCTATTTAACCTTTCATTCCACCCTTTGTCTTATACAGGATCTGAAGCAGACGATAATGATTGGTTCTGCTAGGCTCTACAATGGTCTCTACTACCTAGAAGACACTCTAATTCCAAAAAATTTCTCAGCTGCTTCAACTTCCCCTTTTGATCTTTGGCATTTTAGACAAGGACATGTCTCTCACTCTAAAATTCCACTCATCAAACAATTTTGTACATCCAGAGATGTCATTTTCTATGAGTCTCATTTTCCCTACCAGTCCAACTTACCAGATGATCATACCTCTCCTTCTACTGACCTTTTCTATCCTCTTCCTTCTTCCACCTCTCCTCTACTCCATGATGATTCCTCTCCTGCTCCTACTCCTGTCCTTCCACCTACAACAGCACCATCTTCCCCATCTACCATATCTTCCCCTCCATCTATTCCCTCATCATCTGACCATTCATCACAATCACCACCACCTTCTCCTTCTTCTTCTCCTACAGCACCACCTCCTTCCCCACCACCACCTAATCCGGTTAGAAAATCAGAAAGAGTTTCCAAAAGACCATCTCATCTTGTTCAAAACTATCATTGTTTTCTTTCACAGGGTCCCAGCAGCATCAATCATTCAACTCTGCAACAGATCCAAAACAAAAGGTATTCCTTCTCCTCTATGCTATCTTATGACAAGTTAACTCCATCCTACAAAAATTCTTGTTCAACATCTCTGCCAATCGAGAACCTCAGTCTTACAAAGAGGCTTCTCAAATTGATGTTTGGAATCAAGCTATACAGCATGAGATCCAAGCACTCATCAAAAACCACACCTGGGATGTGGTCTCTCTTCCCAAAGGTAAAAACCCAGTTGGAAACAAATGGGTCTACAAAGACAAATTCCTCTCTGATGGTTCTCTTGAAAGGCACACAGCAAGATTGGTTGCCAATGGCAACACACAACAAGAAGGTTTAGATTTCCAGGACACATTTGCACCTATAATTAAGATGACCACAGTCAGAACTTCCCTTGCCATTGCAGCCATGAGTAGGGATGGAAATCAAACCCATGCCCACGGGTATCCGACCGCCCCCGACCCAGTCAACGCGGGAAATCCCCGCATTGACCGGGTATAGGGCGGGTATGGGTAAAACCCGCAAAAAGTTTGATGGGTATGGGGCGGGTATGGTTTTAGCCTCCCCCGCCCCATACCCATACCCATACCCGCCCCACCAAAAATATTTCTTCACACATGAAAAATATCTGAATCGATTTGTAACCTATCAATAATAGTGAGTATAACTCAATAAAAATATATAGTAGAAATGCAATTATGTGACCACCCAAATCAAAATATAATTTATTTGTCTCAATTTTCCCTTCACTCTTTCACTTTTTCTCCTTGTTAACAAGATTATGTTAGTTAATTATAACTTAATAGATGTATCACAGTAGAGAATAATGATTTGAATGACATTGTACTCTACTCTGATATGGATTAATGGATGCTTTAGGATAAGATGCTTTGAGTCGTATTAAAAATGATTGTCTCTTTGTAAATTTCATGATATAGTAGGTGCATTTAATGTTATAATTGAAAGTCTACATGTAAAATATTCTGTATTATAATGTTGGATGTACGGGGCGGGTATTACCCATGGGTACCCGAAATCCATGGATATGGGGATGGGTTTGCAAAACCTTCCCCCGCATGGGTATGGGGCGGGTATGGGTATAGATATTTGAAAGCGGGGATGGTGATGGTTTAGGCAAACCCGCCCCATTGCCATCCCTTGCCATGAGGAATTGGCATATTCACCAGTTAGATGTGAATAATGCCTTCCTCCATGGCGACCTTGAAGAAGAAGTCTATATGACTCTCCCCAAAGGCTTTGTTCCTCTACCAGACATTCCCAACCCAGTCTGTCGTTTAAGGAAGTCACTTTATGGATTAAAGCAGGCCTCCAGACAGTGGTTTTCTAAACTGACAGACACCCTAATTAGAGTTGGTTATGTCCAAAGCAAGGCTGATCATTCACTTTTCTACAAGGCTACAGACACTAGCTACACTTGTACATTGATTTATGTAGATGATCTAGTCTTGAGGGGCAATGATCTTTCAGAAATCACAGCACTCAAAGAGGTCTTGCATAAAGAGTTCAGCATTAAAGATTTGGGAAATCTGAAATTCTTCCTTGGCATTGAGGTGGCAAGAAGCACAACAGGTATTCATTTATCTCAGAGGAAATACACTCTTGAAATCATTGAACAAGCAGATGTTCTGGACAACAAATCTGTCTCAACACCTATGGACTACAAAGTTCATCTCAGCAACGATCCTGATACACTATTTGAAGACCCTGAGCTATACAGAACCTTAGTTGGGAAACTAGTCTATCTCACAACAACACGACCAGACATAAGCTATGCCACTCAACAGCTGAGCCAGTTCATGTCTTCACCCACAGATGTCCACTATAAGGATGTTCTTCGAGTAATTCGTTACCTCAAAACAGCACCAGCAACAGGATTGTTTTTCCCATCCAAGGAACCTTCCAATTGAAGGCCTTCACTGATTCTGACTGGGCCGCCTGTGTTGAAACAAGAAGATCCACCACTGGTTTCTGCATCTATCTGGGTGATTCCCTGATATCCTGGAAAACCAAAAAACAACATACAGTTTCAAGATCTTCTTGTGAAGCTGAATACAGGGCACTTGCTTATACATCTTGCGAAATTCAGTGGTTACAATACCTGCTTCAAGACTTCAAACCCTCTTCTTCATCACCTGCAAGTCTCTATTGCGACAATCAGAACGCAATTTACATTGCCAAGAATCCAACATTCCATGAGAGAACAAAACATATAGAGCTTGACTGCCATTTTGTCCGCGAAAAGTTGCAATCTGGGCGCCTCAAGCTTCTCCACATCTCTTCCAATCACCAGTTGGCAGATCTCTTCACAAAGCCACTGTCACCAGCGCCATTTGCTTCTTTGATGTCCAAGCTTGGTGTGCGAAATCTCTGCCCACCAGCTTGCGGGGGGTATTAGATTGAAAATCCAGTTTTTCCCTCGTCTCCAACGGTCAAATTCTTCAACGACGACGTTTCCATCTTCTCGCTATGTTTCCTCACTGCGCCACCATTTCGACTTGTCCACTGTGCAGCCGTTTCATTTCAATTCTCATACGATGTCGTTCTTACCTTCCTTTTATGTGTGTACTTTCTTTTCCGACAAGTTTTGTTTGTTTCCCTTCCAAGCTTCCAAACAAGCTGTATTGGAGCTTGTCTCCTTCACTTCTGTATCGCCTATATAAGGCAGAGAAAGCAATGAGAAAAGACAGATTCTAGGGTTTTTCCATTCCACAAACACTTCTTTGTTAATATTGGTGGGTAGTTTGGTTGGTGGGTCAGGTCGGGTCTTGTACGGTTTGGTTGGAGGGTTGAGTAAGTTTAGATGAATGGGTGGGTTTCAATGACTTGGCGGGTCGAGTCAGACTATTTTCGGATTAAATAATACTGATGACAATTCAGTCCGTTACGGCATCACTTAACGAGCTCATTTAACGAAGATGGACAACAACTAACGAAGAGAGCCCAAACGTGAACAGTTTTTGTAAAGTGAAGTACTACCAATGGATTTCCGAGTTACCAAACTTAAATGTTTTTTGTTGTTATCTCAATGACCAATTAACCCTAAAATTTTTGTTTATAAAAGTTTATGTGCTGATGATACCAAGTTGGGGAAGACATTATTACTCGAAAATTATAGGCAACTATCAACATTAACTCTCCTTTAGCTTTACATTTCATCATAATAACCACCACGAGTGAGCAAATGAAACACTGAGGTCAATGAGACCAAACACAAGGTGGCTGTTGGGTGAGGAAACAAAACTATGTATACTTGCTATGGCGAGAAACAAATTCTATTTTTATTATTGACAGATATAACTATAATGTGAAAAGGCTAGTATAAGAACCCTCCCACAACCATGTATCTCTACTGATAGCTAGCTATTTATATGTTGTGAAACTCTAAGCGAAAACATGATTCTGAAGAACACCCCACAAGAAAATGGTTTATTCAATCATCTTTTGTGCCAAGGACCTGTTGTTTCAGCTCCTCAACTTTCGCAACCAACTCTTCCCTGTTTTTCTGCACATCAACAAAACAAGCAAACCATGTCAAATAAGTGAAACTGTGACATATGGAGGCTTAAGTATCAACACGAAAGCAGGTGATCACTGATCAATCAAGCTGTTTGCAACTTTTACCTTGAACAGCAAATAGCGGGTAGTGAACCAGAAGGTGTAGCCGAGTCCCACAACTTCCATCAGCTTGGGAAACTGCATACAGAACCGACAGTTTGAACCCATCATCAGAACAAATACTCAGAAACACAAAGAGAAATTGATGCTGTTAGATAACTGTATTATTTACTCACCAAGGGAATGGAATCAACAGCACTGACAACAGCCGATGTCAACCACAAAGCGAGTAGAGCTCCACTTCCATATATAACAAGGGAAATCGTGTCCTCTGAGTCAAACTGCAGGTTCACAATAATAATCAAGTTATCACGGATAATAGCGCATCGAGATCAGCTGGTACAGATTCCAGCATACAAGCAGCAGCAATATTTCATCAATGGGGCAAACAGCAATTGAGAAAATTAAAATCAAGCGCAGGTGCAGGTGCACCATAGATCGTGGTGTGTTACATCAGAGTATCAAAGGCATCTTACATATTCTGCTAGCATGCTTGAAAACAAGAATGCGTTCGATCAATCAAGAATATGAATACGAAAAAGTATTACTAGTGTAGACTCAGAAATCGGAGAATCATCAAGGCCAATTGACCATTGTGACGAGCGAACCATATTTATCTTCACAGTCCTCAAGTATAACACAAGTGAAAGCAATTGTCAGGGCAGACCATTCCAATGGGGAAAGTAGCCAAATTTTATTTTAAATATATCAAGAAAGCAAAGTTGAAAAACAGGTGTTAAATACTTGCTCAGCTAACCGCTCAGGCTCGACATATTGTCGAATGTTTCATCAAGCATTGGAAATGCTCTCCACTACCTTATTGCTCATCATAGCAACCAGGCTTTTTTCAATGAAATCCGATGAAATTGAGAAAAGGTTAAAAGAACCAAACTTCCGTCTAGCAGCAGCAATATTTCATCAATGGGGCGAGCTGTGGTTCAATAACAATCAGAACTAAACCCAGATGCACAGTAGGTCATGTGTTTATGTTACGTCTGATTATTGAAGGCGTCTTACATCTTATACTTGTATGCTTGAAATAGACAAGAGAAGGAAACAAAAAACAAGAACTTAAACTACAAAGCAAAATTTTATAAATTCATTCAATCAAGAAGATGAAGAGTAAAAAAAAAATAAAACTAGCACAAGGACTCTGACAATCGGAGAATCATCAAGGTCATTCGACCATTGTGACGAGCGAACCATATTTATCTTCACAGTCCTCGGAGTAAGAACAAGTTAAATCAATTCTCGATGCATGACATGCCAAAACAAGCACCAAGCGGGAAAAGCAGCAAAATTTGATTGTACACATCAAGCAAGAAAAGTTGAAAACAGAGGTTAAATACTAAGCTCAGCTAACCGCTCAGGCTCGACAATTTGTCGAATGTTTCACAAAGCATTGGAAATGCTCTCCACTACCTTATGGCTCATCATAGCAACCAGATTTCACATCCAATATGACAGAAAGAAACAAAATACTGTCCAACGACTGAAAAGGCAGCTAATAAGGACATGAACCAGCATTGCAACAACCAGCACTCAATTGCAACAGCATCAAACACGTATCTATGACGATTGATAGGGTAAAAAGATCCAAACTTTGGTGACCTATAGACAAACCTTGAGATTGAGATCGGCCAGAAACTCATTTATGCTCTCCGGGAAAGCGGGTCCTTCACTTTCCGGCGCCGCGTTTTCATCGTAAACAACTTGAGGTTCAACGGCAGCCGAGACTTTTTCTTCAGCTACCTTCGTCGCGCTGCTACTCTCACCAAACCCGCTAGTTCCCTCTACGACATAAGGCGTATTCACCTCGGTCGACGTTTCCTCAGACGCTCTCGCCGTAAACCGCAGAGATCCTGAAATAGAGTAAACCAAAAAACAAACTAATGAGTGAAACGCCATTGGAAAAAAATCCATAAACACAGCAACAGAGCTACCCAATTAATTTCGTCCACAAATAAGAGCAAAATAATAAAACAATATAAACAAAGCCCGAGATTCAAGTTCAGCTAATGAAAATGAACAGAGAAAAGCAAGATGGAGAACGGCAGAATAGTCCATACTGGAAGCGCGGAACGAGCGAGAGTAATGGAAGCGAGGCAGAGCGGCGGAGGAGGTGCAGAGGAGGCGAGCGGCGTTAGATGAGGGAGTGGGAAGTTTAGGGAGAGAAGAGACGACGGCTGCTTGAGAAGTGCAGATCTCCATTTGTGGGGGGAGAGGAGGAAGCTTAAGGGGTTTGTGTGTAATGGGCTGCGGCTCGGCGGCGAGCAGCACTTGTCGCTGGAACGGAAGGTGTGGTGACTTGACTTAGTTCTTATAGGGGAAGGGAAGTGAGGAAAGGGATAGTCGTAGAACTGTAGAAGAGACCTAGGATGGTAGGGTCGCTGTGCATTTGAAATTTTGAGGAGAAGAATTGGTTAGAAGAAGATAAAGCCGCGGTAGCTGGCTGCAGCTGCTAGGGTTTTCCTCCCTTCCTACTTTCTCCCACTTTCCTCTCGTGCTTCTTTTACGTTTCTATCCCTGATTCCCTTCCTTCTTTCCCTCTCCTTCCCAGCTGTAGCACCACCACAACTTTTTCGTGGAAAACTTGTAAAAATTTGAACTCCATTACTCGTCGCCGGGCTTAGGACTCTGAGCCCAAGCAAAACGAAATCCTAATCGAAGGCCCAATGATCCGAAAAATAATACAGGCAATCAATTTCCGACATGCCATGCAGAATAACAGACGTGGGGCTGTATGGGCCTGCATGGCAGACGAAAACCGCACCTCTAAGGTGCGGTTTTCATCAGTGATTTTGCCTATAAAAGGCCTCCCGGAAAACCACTTCTCTTCACACCTCTCCTTCTCCCTTTTCAATTTTCTGTTGTAGCTCTATATTTCTTTAATAGTTTTGCGATTAACGTTAACTCGTAAGTTTATTTTCTATTACTATTTATTGTTATTTTTTATTTTTATGATATTAACTGAAGTACGATTTTATCGTAGATGGCATTCCAAAAGTTCACGCTTGGCTTGGACGGTGGAATGGTTACACGGAAGAGACCGGAAAGGGGGTCACCTACGTCGGTGGCAATTTTCAGAAGATAAAGGTCGCTACCAGACCGCTTCTTGAAGACCTCCATCAAATGTGCACTAACGTTACTTGCATGGATGGCACGAGAAGAGTTGATCGTATGGTGTACCGATATCCAAACAGAGAAAGTGGGTCATTGTGGCATGAGGAATATCTCATAACCACTCAGGATGAGGTAGATGTCATGCTCGAATTCATGAGGTCCAACAATCTTTCCAAAGTCGAGATGTTCGTTTACACCGAGCCGGTCGTAGGCGTTGGAGGTCATTCTAGACACGGTCAAACATCTGGTATCCATGGTGGAGGTGAATTATATGGCGATCATCCCTACCAAAGTTACCATGATCCTCATTCATATTTTCAGTACCAAGAGCAAGGTGAAGGTCATCATCAATCTTTCCCGTCATATGAAGAAGAAGTTCAACCGGACCTCCCTAACCAACCTCAGTACAACTTCCACTCAGGCAGCGGTAGTTTTCACAACTACCATTATGGAGTTGATGAAGGTGCCTTTCATGAGCTGGATCAGATGGAGGATGCCCTGCCAGCACCAGTCAGTGACCCCTCCGATGAAGAAGGAGAGAACAACGTTAGTGCAGACAGCTCCAACCCTCTTGAAGGTGCTGATGATTCAGGACCAGAGTCAGACTCAGCTAATGATGATGAGGTGGCTCATGACCGTGTACCAGTCTCCTACTACAATCACATTCCAGACGACAATTGGATGGTCGACAACGATATGGAGCCGCCAGATGTCCCAATATGGGGTCCACTCACTGGGTTTATGAAGGGCCAACAATTTGGCTCAAAGAAGGAGGTGCGACACGCCATTGAGACAGAAGCAATGACTAATGTCACACAACTCATTCCAACACTAAAAGGCTCATAGTCAGATGCCGTAATCATCACGAGGGGTGCAATGTTAGGATTCGGGCCATCAACAGCAAGAGACATGGCCACTAGGTCATATCCCGTGCGGTGAACACACACACATGTGTGTCATCCATAACTTCCCAAGGCCATCGACAGTTGAAATCCAGGGTGGTTGTTGCGGCTATCAAGCATCTAATTGAGCAAGATCCGGACCTGAAGGTGAAAGTCATAATCGCTGACATTGCAAGTCATTATGGTTATATGATTAACTATAAGAAGGCGTGGCATGGAAAGCAGAAAGCTCTGGCCGCCGTCTTTGGTTATTGGGAAGAATCATATGCATTTCTTCCCAGGTTAATTTTGGCATTGGAGGCGTCTAAACCTGGCACGGTTTTCTCCCCTCGATACCAAGATGAAGAGATACAACCCCCAGAGCCAGGTAACAAGCGCCATTTCAGACGACTTTTTTGGGCATTCAAGCCATCTATTGATGGTTTTGGCTTCTGTGTCCCTGTCATCCAAGTGGATGGTACATTCCTTACCGGCAAGTACAAGGGCACTCTCCTGATTTCCAGTGGGGCGGATGCAAACAGACAAGTCTTTCTTTTAGCCTTCGCCATCGTTGAGGGAGAGAATGCTGAAAGCTATGGATGGTTTTTCCGGCAAATTCAGCTCCATGTCACTAGGAGGACGAACCTGACAATAATCTCTGATCGGCACGCCGGCATTAGAGCTGCCATCTTAGGTTTAGATCCAGCCTGGAAGTGGTCCCAAAGGTGGTGCATACGACACTTCAAGAGCAACTGGAACCATCATTTCAAGCGGAAGAAGCTTGCTGATAATTTGTGGTGGATTGGTAAGTTCGTAATTAGTCGTATAATTTTGTCAGCTAACAATATCTTGTAATCAGGAGAGTGGTGCACTTGTTAGACTCTTTCTAAAGTGATGCATGCCTAAGAAAATGGGGTTTTAAGCGATTATCATGATCCTCCCATTTCCTGGGAAAATCGGGTTTTAAGCGATCTTTGGATCCCCCCCTTTTTTCTATCAAACATGCTGTGTTTCTAAGGAGATGTATACCTCTCCTAAGAGTCTAACGAGAGTACCTCCGGGTTGTTCGAATTGTACTAAAATGCCGAAAATTGACCAACGTACTACTTTTCTGTGTCTTCCTCAGCGGTTGCCTACCAAGAGAAAAAAATTCTGGAGAAGATGCAGAAATTGCGCGAGTTATGCCATGAAGGGGCATAGTGGCTGGATGGACACGACCTATCCATGTGGACATTTCATAAAGATGGAGGGACAAGATGGGGTATTGCCACAACGAACTCAGGTGAGAGTATCAACTCTGTCTACAAGGCCGTTCGTGCACTGCCAATCTCTGCCATTGTGGAGATGACTTTTTGGAAAACGAATGCATGGTTCGTCAACCGACTCCACTAGGAAAGGACGAATGAGGCACAGGGAAAGGTCCATGCCTATAAAGTCATGGAAGTAACGGAGAATGACAATCGCAAGAGCAGTCGACATAGTGTAACCGTTATGAATCGGGCAAATGGCGAGTATAGCGTGACGACCGGACATCGGGAGGATGGTAGACGGGGGGCCACCGCCATGAAGATTTGGTCAATTTCAGGACAAAAGTTGGTGAGTGCTCATGCCAAAAGTATCAGGGGAGAGGGTGGCCTTGTTCTCATGCAATGGCCGTAATTAAAAATAGGAGCAAAGACCCCCGTCACTTCGTTAGTTCATTCTTCAATATAGACTCACTCAAAAACACCTATGGACGGAGTTTCCGTGCATTGCCTGATGAAGCTTATTGGCCGATGTACGAAGGAAAATTGATCATCCCGCCGTTCGGACAGAGGCGTGAACCGGGTCGCCCGAGGAAAAAGAGAATTCATAACGAAATGGATCAAAGTGGAAGATCACCACGAGGCCCAAGACGATGTTCAATATGCAAAGTTCCAGGACATGATAAACGAAGGTGTCCAGGACCGATTGGTCTGCAAAATCCGGGTGCTGATGTGTCGGACTCAGCTAATGCGACATAGTTTGCTTTTATCATTTTTTTAAGCTAGTTGAGACTCTTACTTTGCAAGTAATTGTGTATTGTTGATTGAACGAAATGTGTATTGTGTATTGTTGCTTTTATCGTTCTTTGGCGAAGGGAACGAGGGATTAGCTTGGGAACTCCGCCGTTGGGTTGCTCTAAGGGTCAAATCGATTGCGCTTACTTACACCTCTAAGGGAGAGATTGTGCAAAGATCATAATTTTTCTTTCTCCTCTATTTTCAATCCAATCTCTTCTCTCCACTGTATTGTTGATTGAACGAATTGGGATTATATCAAGATAAAAGGAATAGTTCCAAGGGCATAGAAATAAAACCAAATTGAAACAACACTCAATTAAATAAACTAAGATAATATGAATAATTCTTTGTTCATTTAATTAAAAACCAAATTGCAACAACACTCAATTCGATAAACTAAGAGAATAGGAATAGTTCCAAGTACATAGAAATTAAATTCAACTCAAAATATAACTCAAGGAAGTCCACGAGCTTCACCGGAACCCACGGTTTTCTTGCTCCTTGTACGACGACCGACGGGAGTAACAACAGGTGGTTGCGGTGGCAAGTTTCGAACTCGGGCCGAGGTAGTGTGGCGCTTGTCGGTGCTGTGTTGGCGGTGAATCGGCATTTCCGGGGTCGAGCGGGGGACATCCACGCTCATACGGTGAGGAGTAGGAGGCCACTGCTGATGAGGGCGAGTCAATGGGTTGAATTCGTGGTGCGCCGTCGTGGAGGAACCATCATGCAAAGTACCCGATGATGTTTGGCGAGGAGATGGGGGGTAGACCGGGCGGGAATCGTAATATGCTCCTTGGCGGGGAGATGGGGGGTAGACCGGGTGGGAATCGTAGTACATTTGGCGGGGAGATCGGGGGTAGACCGGGCGGGAATCGTAGTATGCTCCTTGGCGGGGATCGTTGTATGAGATCGGGGTGGGACTCGGAGGGGTTTGATGGTAGGTCGAGCGGGGTTCGTAGTATGAGCCTTGGCGGGGAGTTTGGGTGGAACAAGATAGCTGGGTGTAATGGGAGCACATTGGTCGTACCCCTGTAGCGGATTATTGTTTGTGCCTCCTAGGGAAAATTTACACGTTAATTATTATATATTAGTAAGGGTTTTTTCCTTATAACTAAATTAATTAACTTCAAGTAGAATTTTATTATCATAAAAAGACATTTCATATAATTAACATAAGAACATTCTAAATTAATAATAATTTAAAGAGATACATACATATTATCATAAAACAAACATCCTAAATTAATTAACATAATAACATTCTAAATGAATAATAATTTAAAGAGATACATAAATATTATCGTAAAACAAACATACTAAATTAACTAAAATAAATGACATTGTTAATGAATAATAATTTAAAGAGAAACATACATATTCAAATGTTTGAAATTAATAAAATTCATTTTGTACACATCAAAATAAATCGTATTGGTTGTTTGGTAAATAATTTAATCGTATTGGTTGTTTTAAATAATTTAATCGAATACAAAGCAACACTCGTTAGACTCTTAGAAGAGGTATACATCTTCTTAGAAACGCAATCATTTTGACAGAAAAGGGGGGATCCGAGGATCTCTTAATACCCGATTTTCCCAGGGAATGGAAGGATATGATAATCACTTAAAACCCTATTTCCTTAGACGTACATCTCTTTATAAAGATTCGAAGTAAGTGGCGCTATGTATTCGATTAAATTATTGAAAACAACCAACACGATTAAAAATTCAACATAAATTTATTTTATATTCCACTAAATACATTAACAAAATAAAAGAAGGACAAATGGTAAAGAATTGCATGTACCGGGTGAGCGTTCCAAACATCCCTTGACCGATGGTTGGGTTGGTCGTACAAGTCGGTTGGAACCAACGGTCTTGCTCTAGATAATACCGTTGGTTGTATATATCCACGTCCTCCCCAACCTACGAGAAAATAACAACGAGGTTAGTACATAGATTAATTAAAAAGCTTATAACAACAACAAAAATTAAACCAGAATAATGAGTACGTACCGCTTGAAATTCATCAACATAAACACCCTCTCCTTGCCACCAATCGGCCATTTTTTTGGCAAATTCGGACAGAGATTCGGCTCGGCTGGTTTTGAGGAAAAAACCAAAATTCGCACAGAGATTCGGCTCGGCGGGTTTTGAGGAAAAAACCTAAGAAATGTTTTTTGATGGCAGATCGGACTTAGCCGCAACCAACATACCACTATTTCCTAGGCTTTTGGGAGGGGAGGGTTTAGAGAGATAAATTCTAGAGAGAGAAGGAAGAATGGGTTGTGGTGTGAAGAAATGAGAGGGGAAGGGGAGTATTTATACCCAACAGATCGCACCATCCAGGGGCGGTCCGGTAATTTTGCCCAAAGAGAAACCGCGCCCTCCCGAGGCGGTTTGTGCTTCCCCAGGTTTGACCGCATCTCGGGGCTGCGTTCCCCGATCCGTGGCGCGGATCGCTCCGCTGGCGCGCGTTCAGCCCTCCGATCGCTCCTCCATCCAACGGTCTTGAAGACCGTTCCGCAGAATATGTAAACCGCACCTTCCTAGTGCGTTTCGTGTGCTGACGTGGCTTGGAACGCACCACTATGGTGCGTTCCAATAAAATTGGTGCTATTTCTGTCAATTTTTTCGGATGGGTGCTAGTTTTGTAATTTTTTTAAAGGTGCTATTATTGGAAAAATCCCAATAAATGGCTAGATAGATGAAGTTTTGGAATACAATAATACACTAGCGTGGGCCCGACCATTTGGCGGAGGAAGGTGAGGTATGAAATTTGATAATATAATAGGGTGTATGCTTATTGTTGTATAGTTTTTTGGGAAACATGTGATAAAAATAGTGAATTTTAGTAGGAAAGAGACATGAATGATGCAAGGAATCAAAAATCAGTCTTATGAACCACAATCAAGTACCTGTTACCTTGTGAAACAATATTGTTTCTGGTAATATGATGAGGTGGAGTAAGTTTTATAAAAACCGAATTCCAGAAAATCGAATAAAAAATCGCCTATCCCGCCGGTTTTCGGGAAATGAGCATCTCACAATCGTTGCTAACTTTTACTCGGCCCGTTGGCCGATTAATTTGTTTTATAAAACTTTCATCTTGTCATCATTGTGTTTTCTGGTTTTTTTCCAAGCCATGATAAAATCTTAAAAAATCAAGAATGAACAACACGATTTGGGATAGGAACCACCGTTCCTATATCCCTAGAAAATGGTGGTAAACACGGACTCGCCTGCCAAACTAGTTTGGATTGAGATTTTTATCGGGTATCAGGGAACCATGTGATTATAAATTAGACTTGATCAAACGGGCTAAAATTTGAAATTCAGTCTGTTTGACCAACCCATGCCAAACTCTAATTATTCTTTACTTTTAAACTTTCTATTTGAAAATAAAAAATAATGAAAGAAAAGAGATGACTGCAATTCGCCATTTGCACATCATTGATTCGGGAATAAAATTATAGAATTTCGAAATGAAACTGAAAATGTTTAGGATCGTTTCAATGTTAAAAATAACCAAATAGATCTTTTTGTTTAGTTTTTTACTAACAAATACCAAACGATTCCCTATAATATACACTATAATTTAATCATTATGATATCAAATAATTACATAATATATATTTGAAATGATAAAAATTGGACTAATTGGGTTGGTCGAGGTTGAACCATTGAATAACTTTAAAATACATTATATTTTAGCCACTAAGATATAAAATAATAGCATAATATATATTATGCTAGAGAAAATAGCTTATTGTAGAATAGCAAACCCATGATGTTCATTTGTTTTACTTGATGGGCAAATCTCGTGTAGGTCAAACCCATTCAACTCTTTTATTTTATGATTAGCGATTAGCCCATTAGAATCCATGCATTAGTTTATTGTTAAATTTTTTTCTTTTTAGCAATAAAAAGGAGTAGGATTTTGCTACGGTGACATGCATGTCACCGTGACATGGACTTTTCGGTCGACCTATTGCTGAAGGCGGTCGACCGAATCGACTAATTCATGTTTGTGGGATTCCAAGACGCGGTCGACCTCTTACATAATACGGTCGACCGCTTTGGTGGTCTAACAGAATGAAAGGTCGACCCAAATATCTCATAGGCCGACCCTTGTGCACCTAACAGGTCGACCGCATTAGGAAGAGGTCGACCGCCTTCACACCGTATCCGTATTGGATATGGATTCCAACACCAGAATGGTTCCACAATTGGACAAGGAAACGAATTGGGTCGACCCATTGACGTCCCAAATCTCTATAATTGAAACGTTGGAAGTGGTCGACCAGGTCTAAGGTGAGGTCGACCTAATGTACCATTCGTCGTCTTCTTTTCTAATGCGTGATTTCTACCGGCTAATTTGATATATTGTTTGGTGCAGAATTCCATTCGGTCGACCGTGACGTCAATCAGGTCGACCTGACGAGACAATTCTGCGTATTTGAATTTAGGCCACAACACTTGGATTTCTGTACTTGCGAGGTAACCCAATTGGTCGACCTAATGGGTTTCAAGGTCGACCGTTCCTGTTTTTTTGGTTATTCAACCTGAATGTCGACTTTGGCTTTGATTGTATGACTATGTTGTGCTTGAAAAGGTCGACCGCGCCAAATATCTGGTCGACCTATCCTTTTTCGGTTTAATTTAGAACTTACTTTTTGTTGTTAATTGTTATTTTCCTGCTGGATAGGTCGACCTAGGAATAACAGAGGTCGACCTTAATGGTTGTGGTAGTCACTATTTGTCTTCCAGGTCGACCTAATACTATGTCAGGTCGACCACGTATTTGTTTTTTGGTCAATTGTAGAAATTTGAAGTTGAATTATGATTTAAATTTTTCTTGAAATTGTTTAGACAATGACGCATGATGAGAAACTGCATCAAGATTTGGGTGAAATCATGAAATTGTTGAAAGCCACACAAGAGAAGCTGGTGGTGTGTCAAACACAAGTCAATGACTTTCAGAAGTCCATGTGTGATAGAGTGGAGCAATTGTCAGTTCGACTGACAGATATGACTGGGATGATGCATGACGGGTTTGAGAGGCTAGAAGGTACTATCAAAGTTTTAAGTGCAGAACGAATGGAGAATGGCGGAAGAAATGGTAAAGGACCTAATTTTGACTTTGGTAAAGAGGAAGAATACCATGATGACTCTGAAAATTGCTACCAGAGCATAGACGATTTATTGAAAGAGCACATTTTAAAGGTATCCAAGTATATTCATAGGTGATTGAAGATATTAGTATTACTATCATTAGTGCTAATTTGTTTTGTTTATATGTTTGACAGAGTGAAACGAATGGCAGCAAGGGTTCCTCTCCTAAGTACAATAGACCTCGATATGAAAGTGACTCCTACACCACTCCACAGAAGGCCAGATTTGTAAGAAAAGGATTATTTAGTGATGATAGCGATGAAGAAGAATCTAAGAGTCCTTTCGAAAAGCACGGGGTAAGTTTACGTTACATATTCATCTATAATGTGTGTTTGTGTTCATATGTTACTTTAATTTTAACTATGATTTGTAGGTCATGAAAGTGGAGGGTCTAAAAGGATTCACCAAAAATCTTCAAAATCCAGTTGAAGACTTGTATTATGTTGTTACTAAAGAGAAGGTCGGGGACAAGAATTGGGACAAGTAAGACGTTTTTTAGTACGTGTGGTCGACCGGATCGGTTATGAGGTCGACCGCTTTTCCAATAAGGTCGACCGTGACTGTGAACAGGTCGACCTGTACGTTGCAAATCACAATTGACATTTTTGTTATTTTGATTTTTGCAGTTTGACCGTTGTGGACTTTTTTTCTGAAAACGTGCAACGACATTATTTGAGTTCGGTCATTAGCGAGAATAGCTGGGTTTGCTCATCAGTAAGTACTATACTACTACGACTTTCGTATGAATTGTGCACTATTTATGTTACGATTTACGATGATTTTGTGTTTGATTGTTGGATGGTAGGTAGTGGATTTGTGTGCAAGGGCACTAACAATGTCTAAAAAACATGATGTGAAAGAGCCAAATGTGTGGTATTTG